TTAAGAAAAAAAAAAGAGAAAGGAATCAACTTGTGGTTGGAAGGAAGATAATAAAAGGGTGGTGAAAAAAACATACATTTAAATTGGATAGATAAGATTAATAGTGATCAGGAAACAGGAACATTTCTTATCGAAAACTGATAAGGTGAATTTACAAAAATGGAACAAGGAAGCTTTCGATAAGTAGTGTTTTAAAAGTTTTTATAAATAATTTTAAAGATTGTTCTATTCCATACCTTTAACACTAATAGAAATACATCCAAACAGCCAACTTTGAACCTATATATCTCGGTCATTTTAAAGTTATTAAGAAGTAGTTTACTGATAAAATGTTGCTGATATTGTGATTAACATTTATCTGTTGGCCAATTTTTTATATCTTTTACAGGAACTGAGATATATAGGCTCAAAGTCGGTAGTTTGGATGGATCCATTACTTGCACTTTGAGCTCAATTATCTCAATTTCTATAAGAAAATTCGTAAATGCGTCAACGGATAAAATGTTTGTTATAACATCACCTACATGTTATCAGTTGGCACATTCTTGATATCTTGTATAAAAATCGAGATAATTCAGCTCAAAGTGTAAGTATAGGACTGCCCTCAATTAGAGTGCTTACGGTAGGTCAAAATGATATTCTTGAATGGAATTCAAATCAGATCCTATTGAGGTGTCATTTCAGCTTACTCTAACATGACTGCTAGTACATTCTCTGTGAATAAATGAAACTAGTATTGAAATGAAGCGTCGTATGCTGCTCACAATGAATTGAATAGGAAGGTACATATGGAAACGTACAGCTGCGAGAGGAAGAAGAGGAAGACTCAATCTCCCTTTTCACATTTCGCGTGCTCAATTTCATTCTGCTCTCTCCTTTTTCCCTTCGTAATCCGAATATAGAATTTATGCTCAGTTTTCGTTGTCATGACACATTTGGAAATGTTCTAAAACGCGTTTTAAATACGAATGGTTACTACCAAATCTGAAGGAGGAGCCACCCAGATAAAGAGAGGGAAACATAAAAAGTGCTAATAAATAATTTGAGAGGGTGATAAAGTGATATGATTAAACAAGAGAATGAGAGGGCGAGTGTCAAATGAAGGACTTCCGGACGGAAAATGATGCGGAGGAGAGAAAAGACAGCGGCCACCCTCCTAGAGAGCAAATATACAAAACGCCGGTTTTTTGGGGAAAAGAATAAGAAGCTGAAGACAATCGGAGAAGAATCGAAAAACCAACCGCCATTCAGACTAATCGCTTGCTTATAAGTTTCCAGAGAAAATAACAAAATTTAAACAGGACATTATCGAAGACATTACTGAATAAATTTCAAATGAATATAAGGACACAATTAGCATGGAAAATCAATAACATAGGGTTTTTCGGCTCAGAGAACATAAATTTTTGAGTTCAAAATAGTATACATTAGCAAGCATATGAGATTAGAAGAAGACTTAATCTCTCTTTTCACATTTCGAGTGTTCAATTGTAATTGACAGGGTTGCGCAAAACTACCAGCACTGTTAAAAACGAGTATATCTTTATACATCACTATTTTGGAAGCACAAAATTGGTAGAAATATAATTTTACGTATGATTCAAAGTTACAAAATTTTCAAAGCGATTCTTTAAGTCTAGGTATTGTTATTATTGTCCAAAGATGAACAGTATAATTTTTCTTGTTGCGATTTTCATGAGATGAAACAACTTTGACAAGCGATAACTCAGCTCAAAATTGATTTAAAAATTTGAAACTTGGCCAGTTTACTGATGAGTTGTTTTAATTTTTGCAGTCCGAATTTGAACTCAATACGACTACCCAAACTTTATGTTGGTTCAAACTTTAGTCCGGGTTGTTATGAACCACCTTGTAAATGATAACAGCACTTGGAAATTTTTTGAGGTTGAAATTAGTTACAATACAGTTTTGACAAATATAATTAAATTCAGTTACATGAGCTTTTATAGGTACAACAAAAACTTCAAATTACAGTACCTTTTCAAAACCGCAAAGCTTTTCAAAAACGTCACATCAAAATGCTCCAAGAAAAGAGCAAGAGGAGCAAAATGTTGTACTTCTCACACCCTTTTCGGATCCAAACACAAGGAATCGAAGACATGGGAAAGACAACAAAATAGTTTTGAACACCGTGAGCAAGAGATTCAAAAAGGGGGTCAAAGGACACAGAGGTGTCTGGTTAAATAGGTAGAAAAAGAAAGAAGCAAAAATGTCACCCCAAAAGAACAATGGATCGTTGTCGGGAGAGAGAGAGCGTGGAATGACCAAAAGCAGTGAGAAGAAGACTGCCTGAACGGTGCGCAAACACGTACAGAAGCTTCAAGCTTCTCTGCGTCTTGTCTCTCTCGTCTTCCGTGCTCATGGAGCTTTTAAGGCTGATGATGATGACCAGGTGGGAAAGGACAGACACACAGAACCTGCGCAAATAAAAGAGCACTGAGAATTTGGAGCCGCAGAGAGAACTTTTTGAATTTGACGCCGCTTATTGACTCGCATATTAATATTATTGTGATTTTGATTGAGCTCTTTCTCTGTCTCTTATTGCCGATTGATGACGTGTAACATCACAAAGGGCAAGAGAAACATTGGGCAAATGGACGAAAAATATGTTGAATGGAATAATAGGAAAAATGAAACAAAATGAGTCATTTGGGGAGACACTGGTTTCGTTGGAGTGGTTTATGATGTTTCTCAGAAGAAAACGAGAAGGAGCAATTGCAATGAGAATGTAATGGGGGCTTGTACATAAAAAAGAGCAACTGTCCTCCGGCTGGTCTGGCTCACACCCAACCCGTCAACTTGGATCTCAATTATATTGTTTCCTGCGAAAGATATCGAACATTTGTCAACTGATAAAATACTGGTCAAACTATGGTGAACAATTTATCAATTGACAAAATTTTGATATCTTTTGCAGAAATCGAGATAATTGAGCTCAAACTTGACGATTTGGGTGGGCTTCTATTTGAGCAAGTACGGTATCACGCTCCGGCTCAATTATCTCGATTCCTTCAAAAGATACATTACCAATATCTTTCAGTGGACACCCTTTTTATATCTCTCATAGGAGTCGAGATAATTGAGCTCAAACTTGACAATGTGGGGGCCCTTCTATTACAGGTTTTACGGTATTTAATTTCATCCGAAGCAATTTTCGAACAGATACTCTAACGGTTCCCATGAGTAAGGTTAGGAAGTTGTTCCCAGAACCACTCTGACCAATTAAAAACTGTAATCAGACACCTCAGGTGGCCATTAGCTAATGACTCTCTTCACCGGAAACATTATCCCCCTTACAGGTGACTCTGCAAACATTAAAATGGGCCTCCTGCCGTGTCATTCTCGACACCCCTACAAATCACTTGTAATACCATTACGCAACCTAACCGATCACCTGCTCACTCGATATCTCCGATCATATATTATGCTTTTCTAGAATGATGACGTGGAAAATTACGTCACCTCCCCGCCAGAATACCGTCTGTCACAAAGACGGCAAATTGGCGGTGTCCGTCGAGACCGTTGAGGTGGAACATTGCGCAATCGACCGGCAGACCCGAGAGAGGAGCAGTTTACAAAGGGGAGGCAACCACACGGGAGAGCAGATGTACCAACATGTGTGTTCGCGTTCTAAAGGGGCTTATGTAACAGGAAGCATGCGAGTAAAATATACGAGCAGATAGAGGACAGTGCAGATTCAATCCAATAGGGGCACATTATAGGAAAATGAAGGGAGAATCGAGAAGAATTTGAGGGGATCGGAAAATGGTATCCTAGGGGTGCCCGGTGGTATTGAACAGTTGATTCCGTGCATTCGGACTCTTCCGAAATTCAAATGAAAAATTCGGAAGAATCACAGTATCGGTCAATAAGATAACCGAAAACGTATTATTTTAATTATGTTATGGCCGTTTAGACCATTTTGAGGAGTCTGTAGCTCTGCTGTCAAATTTCCGATTACTTTGAAAATTTTAGAGAGTGCAAAGTAGATTGAAAACTTTGCATTCATAGAATTTTTCGGAAAGTCCTAAATTTTCAGATATTTGCCGCTTTCTGAAGGATAACCTTTTTTGTACTGTTTCTGTTTTCAACTCGGTTTTAGATAATTTCAAAAAGAAAAATGTCTACTGGGAAAACTTTTGAGAGTGATACACCCTACTAAAGCTCCCAGAAACTGATCTAACTGGTAAATCAATCTTCTTCTTTCTCTTTTTTCTTCGTTTCAGGCCGCCCGACACTGTCCGTTCGTATATCAGCAGGCGGTAAAAAGCATCGGAGCCGCCTGTCGGGTCTATCAAAAGGAACACCGCCAGGCGAGATACGGTGAGCCGTAAAGAAGTGAGCGAAACAGCCACGCAATACTTTTCTGCTCAAAAAAGATGAAAGAAGGAAATAATAATCAAGTGTGTGTGGAAGAAGTGGAAGAGAGTTTGGGTTGATTGGTTTTCATTGTATTAAGGGCAGATGATTCAGAGTGGGTTCATTTGAGAAAGTCTTACGGTAGAAACAAGGTGACAAGGTATGTAGATTCACATAAAAACTCAAAAGAAAAAATCAAGAAAATTCTAAAATTAGGACAATACATTGAAAAAACCAAGTGGTATCCGGTGGCTGGCGATCAAATGTGAGTTTATTAGTCTCCGACCAGCGCGCGAAAATTTCGTATTCGAACTTTCCGAGTTTTTTTTTCGATTATCTCGATTCCTATTCAAGGTATCGACAATGCGTCAATTGATAAAATATTTGTGATACAGTGCGTCGCATAACTATAGGACCCCCAGATGTTTTGGGTGCACAGGTCGTTTTTTGACCATTTTATCTACTCTAAATTGTTTTATTTACGTTTTTCATTGTTTTAAGCTTTTTCTGAAGATGTTTCTCGCAACTTTCTTTCAAAGTAAAAATGTCTGAATCCCATGTTCGCTTCAGTCAACAAAATCCATTTATTCTAAGCAACTAACAAAAAACACATCGAAAAATCAGTACTTAGTCTCTCCGCCGTTGTTTTGAATCACTTCAACGATCCTGCTCGACATGCTGGCTACAAGATTCTTCAATTCGGCATCAGTGAGAGCGTCCCATTCAGCCTGGATTGCGTCCTTGAGCTCCTGCACGGTCTTGAATTGCCTCCCGTTTCGATAGACCCGGCGAACGAGGATGCCCCAGATATTCTCAATGGGATTTAGATCCGGACTGCATGCTGGCCATTCGAGCACCTTGATTCGTTTCGAGACGAACCAGTTCCTCGTGGAGGTGCTCGTGTGGATAGATACGTTGTCCTGTTGAAACGTGTGGGTGTGGCGTCTGTTGCGGAAGAACGGAGCCACGGCCTTTTGGAGAGTTGCTTGGTACGTGGCAGAATTCTCCTTCGTGGTGATGAATTGCAGTTCGAGCTTTTTTCCATTGCAAAAAGCGCCCCCAAATCATAACAGAGCTGCGTTCTTGACGTGAAGTCAGCTTTCTCGATCTTCCCGCAGACTCCTTCAGCTTCTTCTCGTAATGGAGTGGGTCGGCGAGGTATTTTCGGATGACGTTACGACTTCTCGTGAGTTGACGGGACATCTCGTGAAGTGTCAGTCCAAGTTGTTTCATCACATCCACTTTGGCCTGTTCGGCAAGAGAGAGGAGTGTAGCGCGAGCCATGGTTGAAGGAATGTTTCCGAGGCATATTTTTGGGATAGGGACCAACCAATATTTTCAGTTACTGTACCTGCACATCAAACTATCGCCACGATCCGAATTACTGTAAAAAAAATGCAGCTGGAGATTTACGGAAGGGCCAGAAGTGAAGCTTGATCTCGAAAATGAGTTCCTTGCATTGTTAGATGTTCCACACGAAGATGTTGAAAGAAAGTTGCGAGAAACATCTTCAGAAAAAGCTTAAAACAATGAAAAACGTAAATAAAATAATTTGGAGTAGATAAAATGGTCAAAAAACGACCTGGGCACCCAAAACATCTGGGGGTAGTGTTTGCTGTACACCCCAAATTGAGGGGGGCCCTATAGTTACGCGACGCACTGTATTATTATGAACAACTTATCAGTGGACAGCTTGTTCATATCTTTTACAGGAGCCGAGATAAATTAGCTCAAAATTGAGAATTAGGATGTACTGGTTTTACGGTAGGTTAGAAATCAAAAAAAAACCCTGGAAAATAATGACTGGATAATAAGGCCGGGGACTAGAAAACTCACATTCGGCCGCCAGCCACCGTTTACTACTATGCTTTTCGATGGTTTCTGGACAAAATAAAGCATTAAAAAATTTACGCCATCTTTAAGTTGTTGAAATGTGGACAGAAATAACCTTATTTGGGTACATATCTCTGAATGAAATCTCATCTGAATCAAAGTGGAAACCAAACTGAGTAGAATTCTAGAGAACCATTAAAAATCATTAGATTTGTGTCGTTTTTTGAGTATACCGTCATAATCCTAGTCATTTAAGCTCACTTGAGATCTTGGAAAAGTCTTAGAAAAATAAAGAAAATCCGTTGTTGTGAGAAGTGAAAAACAACAAATCTTCTTATTTGGTGACACAATGGATCGTCATCTTCTTGAAAATGGCGGGATCGGAATGCAGTCCACCCTAATCACACTTTGGGAGGCAACTTGTGTTTCTGTTAGTCATGGAGAAGAAGAAAGAAAAAGAAAAAGAGAAGTAATAGACCAGTTTTCCGAGGGAACGTTTTGTTTCTGGCGCGAAAAGCAACATTCCAATAAGTTCAGTGTTTTCAAGGTCTTCGGTATATGCGACCCAATTGATTGATTACTCAAAGATTTCCACAATAGATAACTGAGATTTTGGGAGGTTTTTTAAAATAAGAAACGAAGCGAAAAAAAACTGATTCTGATGTGAAACTGACAAGGTTTTTACAGAACGATTTTACGATGGACGAAGGTCAGAAAATTGGCGAAATAAGACGAAAAAAAGAGGGTGAGAAAAACGACAAGTCATTCTAATTAGGAGGGAAACAGAATTTGAAAACAAAACGCTTTTAAAGAATTAGAATCCGATGAAATTGTAAGGTCAAGAATGATGAATCTATAGGTGTTGATGGGAACGGTTGGTTTTTCAAGCAATGGAAAGATTTGAAAGATTCAAATCAGAATAATCTGGGATAAGGTTTTATATCCATTACTTTTTTTAATTTTCAACTAGCAAGCTGGTGCGCCTTCGGCGCGATTTTTTTTCGGATACGGTAGAAATTTGATAAGAAAAGACAGTAAAAAGAGATGTGAAAAGATATCATCAGGAAACGAAAGTTTTGAAGTCGGTGTGTTCCAGTAGATTTTCTGTTGACAGAAAGCTATGAGTGCGCTATCTATCGCTATTTCATTTTCTTTTCAAATTTGATTTCGGACATTTGGTAAAAGGGGGACGTTCAGTGATAAACACCTAGCCATGAACCCCAAACAATGGCGACCTGAGGCCTTTTAGTACTTTTTTTACTTCAATGACATCGATCAAAAAAAAAGAAGAAATAGTAATGAGTAGCGCATCCAAAGCTTCCTGAAATTGGGCAGCACCCAATTCCTTCCAGCATCCGACATCCAATCCTCCTTTCCCATTCGGTACCGGTTCCGGTGATATTTGTCGAGTAGAGACGTCAGTAGTCTTGGTAGAAGGATCGGAGCCTTTCCATCCTTTTGGTCCATCCCAGCTGCCCTGGAAGCTCGTCATAACTCGGACTCCTCATCGACTCCTCGGTCCGACTTCTCGTTGATTTCTCCAGCTTATATAGCCCCCGTAGATTAGATCTAGAGAAAAGATAAGAAAAGAGTTCATGAAAGTTGCCAGCACGCGGAATTTCTGATATTTTTTCGTAATTTAAAAAAATCAAATCGACAATACACTTCTGGACATAATTATAAAGCCACTTTAATTTTCGAGTTTTTTCGAAAACTGGGAAAAGTGATTGAACAGCATATGGTTGTCATAAATACTATTTTGAAATGTCAATTAATGAATATCATTTGATACCGCTATCGTTTCTTAAAGGTGGTGTACGGTGAAATTTTTTATTGCATCAATATGTGCAGAAATGCATGTAGATTGACATAAAAATAAAGAAAAAATTCAAAAAAATTCCTTCATCGAGAAAAACGCATCGAAAAATACGCTGAAAGCCCTTAGGGACGAGGTTTTTTCTAGGCCGCCTCTAGATCTAATCTACGGGGGCTATATAAGCTGGAGAAATCAACGAGAAGTCGGACCGAGGAGTCGATGAGGAGTCCGAGTTATGACGAGCTTCCAGGGCAGCTGGGATGGACCAAAAGGATGGAAAGGCTCCGATCCTTCTACCAAGACTACTGACGTCTCTACTCGACAAATATCACCGGAACCGGTACCGAATGGGAAAGGAGGATTGGATGTCGGATGCTGGAAGGAATTGGGTGCTGCCCAATTTCAGGAAGCTTTGGATGCGCTACTCATTACTATTTCTTCTTTTTTTTTGATCGATGTCATTGAAGTAAAAAAAGTACTAAAAGGCCTCAGGTCGCCATTGTTTGGGGTTCATGGCTAGGTGTTTATCACTGAACGTCCCCCTTTTACCAAATGTCCGAAATCAAATTTGAAAAGAAAATGAAATAGCGATAGATAGCGCACTCATAGCTTTCTGTCAACAGAAAATCTACTGGAACACACCGACTTCAAAACTTTCGTTTCCTGATGATATCTTTTCACATCTCTTTTTACTGTCTTTTCTTATCAAATTTCTACCGTATTCGCTTTATTTTTTGTAGGTTTATGACGGTATACTTAAAAAGCGACACAAAAAAGATTTTTAATTGGTTTTCAAAATTCTACTCAGTTTGATCCCTTTCTCATCCATTTTCGCATCCTTTTTATGTTTATTTTCTTTTTATGTTTTTTTTCGAGGGATTTGAAAAAAAATTTGTATTAGGAAAAAAAAATAACTTTTAAAACCTTTTTATAGTATAAACATTTTTGATCGGAACCCCCCTTTGAAGAGTTCAACCAATTTTTGCAAGTGCAAAGTAGCTTATACAAAAACAAAAAGTGAGAAACTTTAGAAAGATAAATGAGAGATAATTTGATCATTGAACAACTCATAGCTCTCCCAGCTAATGCGGTTCACACATTTCGCATTTCAAACATATGTTAGTTTGATTCTTGACCTAATTCATGGGATTTCGAAATAGAGTTTCAATAATTTATTAGAAACTTGTTTTTCTTAAGTTGCGTTCTTCTCATGAGATGTAGACTCGATTTCTAAAAGATCCCTATTTTGATGACTACAGGAAATTGACATGGTTCTCAAATTCCAGAATCAATTTTTTGTTTTCTCTTGTTTTGAAAAAATCATTAGTTTCACACCTGTTGCGTGCAAATGTCGTTGAATCCATCACCAACCAATTGTCAATTTTCAATATCTTTTTGGACTTTTCCCATCATCCAAATCTTCATTTTCTGTGGTGATACGTCTTGTCTCTTTTCCTATCAATCTGTCTCATTCTTTCCTCCCCCGTACCTTCTTCTGTCTCTGTGTGTGTAATCTGCGAGTGTGCTTCGTGTGCACTTCCACCACCACGACGACACATTCCGCGGATCCTCTTTGGTTTTTTTTTCACGAAATCATTTTGTCACAAATTGGTTCGTGACAGGAAGAGCGACCTCGGACAAAGAGGAATTGGGAGAGAAGATAACGGAGGTCACCTGGTTTGAAACTTGCTCTTTTTGTCCGTTGGGGTTATCTTTGATCCAAATGTTTCCAATCTCAAGGATTAGGTGCATTGCGAAATTCACATTTTCTGCTTTTCTACGCATAAATTTTCGGAAATTTGTTGAATAGCATTCCTGCCATATTCAGGTTTATTCAATAAAATTTGAAAAGGAAAACAACTGATACTTCAATAATTGAAAAATTGTGTTTCACAAAGTTTTTCAATTGATTTTCGGACATTTTGACCATTTTCAGGAGTCTGGAGCTCGACTGTCGAGTTTCCGGTCCCTTTGAAAATTTTGGATGTTATGAAACAGATCCAGATTGAAAACTTTGCATTCACAGAATTTCTCAAAATTTTCTAGTTTTTGAGATTTTTACCGATTTCTGAAAGACACTTTTTGCCTGTTTTTGTACCGAACGAGAAAAAACAGGTTTGCCAGTCGAGCTCCAGACTACTAAAAATATTCAAAATGGCTGAAAATCAACTGAAAACCCAATTTTTGTATATCTTACAGGTACTGTAAATTTTAGTATTTACGAGATTCGTTAATTTTTTGTCATAAATGAGCAACGGCTACTTTAGAACCATTCCAGAAAAGTTTAAGGCTCAATCCAGTAGTCCATTAATTTTGAAGATTGTTTGTTTTCGAAACGAAAAACGCCAAAAAAAGATTCAAGTTTGATAATGTTCCCGAATTTTCCCGAACAGCAAAAAAGCATCTTATTAGCAAAAAAATCATGTGTACAGAGAATTCGGACTATTTTGAATTCAAAATTTGTGATTTCAAGCAAATTTTTTTATTCACACACTTTGCAACTCCCAATTCTTATTTTACAGCTTTGTAACTAATCCTGTAAATCATTTTTCGATATGATAAGATATAAAAGAAAGGTGTCAAGTTCTCAAATAAAGTAATAAAAAGTGCTATTTGCATTCTTCTTCTTTTCTTTTTTTTTTCCCAATTCTTTCGGCCACACACTGCAGCAGTAATTGGCTCCTCAAACTCCTCTCATCATCTTCTTCTTTCTCCGTCGAATCTCTTCTGATTTATGTCTCTCAGCACCATCCCCCTGCGTCTCTTATCACTCTCAACACACTGGTCCCATCTGATATGATTCGTCGTCCCCTATCCCCGATTGGTACTTTTTTGCAGTGAAAACGAAACAACGAGCGACGGGCTCCCCCGAGAGCGGCGACCTCGATCAAGATGGTCCGCATGGCAGAGCGGTTGGCCGAAAACTTCATTCCAGAAGCCAGGAATGAAAGTGAACCGGCCTACAGTAGATACAAGTAAGTTTTTGAAATCTTTTCTTCGCCTTTTTTGAATTTGTAACGGAGTTGGATTCTCAGATCTCGAGGTGCCCTAAACAGATCCAGATTGAATTCCAGAGCCTCTCTGGCTTCTTCACAAGGAAGAAGGATAACATTAGGTATGCTAGGGGATTTAGTACCTACGAATATAATCATGAACGTTTTCAGTGGAAACCGATAGTGGTCTGATAGAAGTAGAAAGCGATAAACAATTTCTCGATGCGTTCAAAGATGCAAACATGGACGCAGTGCACCATTTGAATGCAACAAATCCAGTTACCAGGTTTGAATCCTATCATAGTTAGTTTCAATTTTTTGATTTCAGAGGTCTCTGGTGTCTGATTATAATTGCCTTCGTAATTTTGGTGCTGGTCCAGTGCTATTCTCAAATAAAATTGTATATAAGTGAACCAGTTGCAACAAATATTGAAGCAGAATATCCTAGTAAAATATCATTTCCTACGGTCGCAATTTGCAATAATAATCAGTTCAGGTATAAAATTAACTGGTCCTTCAATTCCCAGATGCGCCATTTTTTCAGATTAACATATTTGACTGGTGGTCGAATAATGAACAGAAGATCAAAATCTATAAGCGGGTCTTTACTATCAACGGGTCATGATATTGAATCGGTTTTTGATACTGTAAGTTGCCTTTGAAACTGATAAAAAAACAGAAAAAAGAATTTCAGGTTCTAAGGAAATCCTGGGACATGGACGCTGTCAAATTCTTGCGAAGTGCCGCTCATTGGAAATCTAGAATGATTCTTGGGTATGAGAAATTCCCAAAGTTCATAGCTAAAATTTCATATCCTTCAGATGTACTTGGCCAAATGGAACATCGTGCAAGTTGTCAGATTTCAAAGCAGTTTGGACGACAACTGGTCTCTGTTGGGCTATCAATTCCGATCCACACAATCCATATGAAGTTACCGGTTCTGGAGAAGGTCATGGATTACGTCTTCTTCTAAACGTGGAGAGTTATGAGAGAGTGGATGCTTGCACAAAACATTTCCGAACCAAAAGTCTTCCTGGACTCAAGATTTTGATCTATAATCAAACAGACGTTCCAGATAGCAGTATGAATGGAGTTAATGTCCCATCTGGATACTCCATGGATATCCCATTCAAAATGCAACATGTGAGTTTGTGATTAGAAATTTTTTGAAACGAATGAATGTTTCAGAGATCAAAACTCCCCGGCGTCCACTGTATTGAAGAAAATGATGAGCAAATTGAAGCAAGTACAGACTTCAATAATCCAGAAAACGTTAGAACATGCACATTGAGAAGATACATGACCGAAGTCGAGAATTCATGTCATTGTACTTTGAGAAGAGCATATACCAGCAACTCAACGAACGATCTGAAAATGGCTGCATGTAATGTGGATCAGTACTTTGGGTGTGCTCAAGAAGCTATGAAAAGAGTCAGGGAAGAGGGAACGGCCAGCACTTGTCTTCCACCATGCAAATCAATTGATTATACTGCTTGGCAGGTGTGATGATCCTTTGTTGAAACTGGTATATTCATTATTTATTTCAGGACATGAATCGTTTGCCACAAAATTTGATGCCAGCTCTTATTGAAGAACAAGAAGAAGACGATGAAGATGATGTTGAACAGGAAGAACTTGATGAAAATGTCTCATTTTCTACAGTATCCGGAGGAGAGACATTCTCATGTGAAGACAGTGCGTATTTAGATGAGAAACAAGTCATGAGAATTAAAAGAGATGCTCATAGAGCCTATGAGATGCAAGCAAGACATCAGGAAGATATATTTTTAAGATCTAGAAGACTGATTGCGAGACTCAGAAATGCTATTACATCGTGAGTAGTTTTTGAAATCCTGAGAAAATCGATTGCATATTTAGAATCGAGCGTCAGAAATGGGGATGGCATTCAGACACTTTCAACGGAGTCGCTGACCGATTATCCAACTTGACCTGCTTCTCAAACTTCAGTGAACGTCATCGTGACGTCATCAACATTTTAGAGTCAAGGCCCATCACCAGTGAGGAGAAGAAAGCAAATCAAATGTTTTTCGTAAGCATCTAAATCCCTTCTTTAGTCGAAGTGTTCCATTCTATATTACAGCTTTTGGATGAAAACGGATTCAAAAGAAATGCCACGAAATATATGTCAATTGGAGATTTGAAGTCAAGATACGGTGACAAAGTGGATGACGTCGCAGAAGAGATTGCCATCATTTTGAGGATTGTAAGTTTTAGAAGGTGTTGTAGACAATGATTCGGAGCTTCAGATGGAAAAGCTGTGGCACGTCTTCATGCCGGATTCTTATCTGAAATCGATATCGGGAGACTTTTCCAGAATGGATAGGATTATTGAATTGATGGATCAGTATGAGTTGAATAAGTTGCAAAGAAGAGCATGGGCTGAGAAAATGCAATCGAGACAGATGAAACATTTCTTTGAGGATGACTTTTATGAAGTAAGAGAAATACCGTAAGCACTCTAAAAGAGATCCTTCAAAACAGTCAACTTTGACCCAATTTATCTCCCTTCCTGTAAAAGATATGAAAAAGTTGTCAGTTGATAAAATGTTCATCATGTTACCAGAAACATTTTATCAGTTAACAACTTTTTAATATCTCTAACAGAAAATGAGATATGTAGACTCAAAGTTGATGGTTTGGGTGAAACTCTATCAAAGTGTTTACGGTACTCTGTTTTCCAAAAACCAAAGCAATTTCAGTCCTACTACCAGCCACTGATCAAAGATCTTGACACAACTCTCGTCAAACAAATCGATGAAGTTGAATCTGATTGGCCGAAAGTTGAATACTACCTACAGCGTGGTAGTGCTGGCAAAACCGGAGCAATTATGTTTTTCGGCGACGGAAAGAAGGAAAATCGACAGAAATTCGAGAAACTAATCATCGAAATGCATGAATGCGCATCTGGAAAATTGAGGAAGGAAGCTGGGAAAATGTTGCATAGTTTCAAGAAAAGTTACCGAGAACTTCAAGCTGCCTATGGCAAATTGTTCAAGGAAGAACTGCCGGATTATTTAGAAAACTTCCAGTTCGGAAACAAATTTGTAGGAGATAATTTCGCAATGGTCAACATTTTCTTGCACCGAATGAATCTCGAAGTGTGGAGTCAAGATAGAACGTATGGATTCTGGAGTCTTGCTTGTGATATTGGTGGAGCACTTGGACTATTTCTGGGAGCATCTTTACTGACAATCATTGAAATCGTTTATCTTTGCATCCAGTATGGTTTATGTGGAAAACGAGCGAGAAATATGAAATGTATTCCAATGTAAGTTTTCATCAAATATAACTTTTTAATAGTTGCCGTTTCAGGGATAAGTTGACTAGACAAGTCAAAAAAGTGGCGACGTGCAGTTGTTGTAAGAAAGAAGAGAAGCCAAGAGAACCGATTTATAAAAAGAAAAGTCAGAGTTATCAAAGAAGGTTTGCAAAAGAGCTAGAAGTTTTTATTCAATTCAATTTATGTTTCAGATATACCGCCGAAGACGAAGAGCAAGCTGAGAAGTTCCGTTCACGAACGTCGAGTGAAGATTCCAAAATGAGGAAAAACATTTGGGCACAAATGAACGACCCATCCGCGAACTCGACGTTGACGCCTTCTGAAATCAAGCACTTCCTCGATCAAGTGCAGAGACATTCGCAACCACCCAGTTATCATGATGATCAACATCCCGGTATGTTTCATTCCATGTTTTATTAGAAAATTGGTAAAAAAGTTCAACAGAAAAAGAAAACAACAATATAGAACAAATGGGTGTGAACAAGAGTGATAATGGGAAAATTCCTAGACGAGAGATCTGTCGAGAAGGTGATTTTTAGCGGGTTTATTATTGTTGTTGTAGACAGTCTGCGGATAATATGGATTTGTTGGGTCAAGCTCTTGTGGGGCCATAATAGATGAAAAAGTGACGGGAGTGTTGATGGGCTTCAAGAAAACAGTATTCGCAAAAGAGAAATGAGGGGTTTTAAATTTCAAAAGTCTGAAGAGAACAACTGCGAACACCAATCTAACGATGGTGACTGTAGAGAAGAAGAAAAAAAAGAAGTAGTCCTTGACTCCAATAATTGATGCGTCGTTTACGTTCTCATGGACTCGTGTTATGAACTTCACTCCGGCGACAGTTACCCATGTGTAGGCAGCGATTTCGATGAGTACGCTGAGAACCAATGGAATGATACTGCGATAACGAATCGTAGCCAGCTGCATCCACATTGCAGCGGTATAGAACACGAACATGATTTCCGGCGACAGTTTATCTCCATTTGGACTGATTGTTACCATCAGAGCGACAGCGAAATCGGTGAATGCAAGGATGTTGAGACAGAAATGTCCAACTTTGTTCAGACATTTCGAAACTTCTTGTGCCGCGGCTTCTGAAAAAGATTTTGACATGTTTTATTTTCGAAGGCCCATAATTATAACTTACGCCGGAATGATGCGGAACCGCTGCGGAGAACTTCATACGACAAAACGCCGGGATTCTTATTGCTGACTCTTGACATTTTTTCTGAAAATAGATGGAAATTTTAGAAACAAATGCTGGAAAAGCAAAAATTAGACAGAAAATCGGAGAAACCGCATAGAAGTTCTGACCGCGTTGCAAGCAGCGACGCGACGCGCGGCGCCGCGCGATGCGAACACACAGACGAGCAATCACGTATATTATGTGCTACAGTAACCTTTCAAATATTTATTGCGAATTTAGAATTCCGAAGGTGACATGATAGTAACAAAAAAAACCGAGAAAAATATAATTCTAAAGCTGAAAAAAATGTTAATAGAAGTTCAGAGCGGAAATGTATTTCATATACTTCTCTCTGACTTGTTTTCTCATAATCCGCTCAGAGTTATAAACGTGAGTATGCTGCTCTTTGGCGATGAGTTGTAGTACAGCAAGAAGGATCGGAAGTATCAGAAGTTCAAGGGGACATGGTCGAAAATTGAGTATACTTTCTTGTTGTGACCAATCTATAGAATCTATTAGAATATCTGTAGATATGCCTAAAAGAACATCTGCTGGGCCGTGGAATCGTGTGTGAGTAGAAGCGAATGTGTGGTAGCAACGATTGACGAAATGAAAAATGATGTGAAAAACAGGATAAATGAAATGTGGCTCATTTAGCAGTAGAAGGAGAGAATAAGAAAGAGTCAATATTTCAAGACCAACATTGATCAATGTAGATGTAGTTAGCTCCCTGTTGCTCAGTTTCAGAAAAGCTATTTCTTCTGAAATTACAAGTATTGTTATGAGAAACCAGCTATCAAAATTTCACCTTTGAACTTCACACGGTTCTGAAGAATCGTTGTCATTGAAGGCGAAAGGAGTCCGTTGGCTTTTTTCTCTTGTTCTCGAGTATAATAATTTCGGTTTCTGGAAATACTGTTATGATCTTTAAGAAATGTAGCCAGTTAATAACTAACTTGTAGTAAACGAACATTTCAATGAGAAATGCAAGAACGAGAATTCCAGGATGGAACACGACGACAACGATCATAAGTGAAAAATATGCCATTCTACAAAATTTTCGATTTTCTTTTTCCTGAGCACTTTAAGAATGAAAAGCTACCGTAATCTCACTAAAGACGTACCTGATCATTGGGTTTCTATAGTTTCCCTCATGTTCTCCGTCTGGTCGCGGCTTGTAAGAACTTGATTCTTCTGGTTTTCTATCATCCTCCTCAGAATCCGTCTCATTGTCTCTGAAGCTCTCATCTTCTGAATGCTGATAGATCTCTTGGTAGACTCTTCTTCTTGTGTAACGCTTCGAAACCTTCCATCTAACCATTGGTCGCCTACAGTAGTCAGATTATTCAGACGAAAAAACAATGAGGAAAAGTAGGTCCGACAGAACGTGTTGAAAAGAATGAGGGGAAAATCAAAAACGCTTCTCGAAGCAGCAAGAACAAACACATAAAAGGGCGAGAAAAGGAGGAAAGGATGAAGAAGAAGAAGAAGAAGCCGAAATAGAGAAATGAGAGCACCCGGGTACCCCAGAACTGCCGTTTATTTTTCGGTTGGTGTCCCTTCAGCCACTAAATTCATTCATTTCTCTAATACAGAAGAATTTCAAAAAAAAACGAGACACAGAGAAATAATATCATGTTGAAAACTTGCTCTCAATATAAATGAGGCTTATAATTTTTGGAGGGACAATCTATCTGAACAAGATACGAAAGGGCAGGAATAGAAAAAAGGAAAAGAGCAAAATTGGGGCGGAGATTGGAAAAAAGGAGGTCAGAAGACGAATGATGAAGGAAGAAAATGGGAAGAATCCCATAAAATGAGTGGTATGTGTGTGGTAATGGATGAAGACGAGCGGAGGTTGGATATATATTGGAAAAGAGTCTGACATGAAAATGATTACGCAAAATGGCACCCTAAGAAGTGCTCGACACTAGTCATTGCTCATTTTCTACATCGGGAAGAGGTTCGCTCCGAAAAAGGGGAGTAAGATCGAAGAAGGGACTTTACTGGTTTAAAAAGATTAAAGTTTCAACCGGTGCTTTCTAGAAGAAGTGTTTCTCAGAGTGGGAAAATGTTTTTAAGTTATTATGGCGAAATGAAAAAAGTTATGGGAAAATTGTAACTATGGTGCACTTTATCATGTGAAGGTTGAGGAGATATAGGCGATGTAGCTAAAAAAATACATTTGGAAAAATTTGTGGAGAAAGAGACACAAAGTCATAGGGCTTAAAAACAACTCTGCGCCGAATTAGAGAGGTATATGCACATCCAAATTATACGTTATGCTTCAGAGACTTCTTGCACGGTTTGAAGAAAAAACATAGTTTAAAACAATCATTTATTCCCTCATTCAAGAACAAATCTCTACTTCAAGACTAATTACCGTACTCACTCTAGTAGAAGCTAACCCAAACCGTCCACTTTGAGCTCAAATATCTCGATTCCTGTAGAATATATCAAACATTTGTCAACGGATATACTATTTATCATAGAACCACCAACACTTTATCAGTTTGCAAATTTATGATAACTCTGAACCGATATAATTGAGCTAACGGCTTTGATGGACTTCTATTAGCGGAAATACTGTATTTTTTTTCCAGAAGACCAATATTATTACAACGATCCAAACTACTTGGGAATATCTCCGGTTCCAAATAAACCGTAAGTTGTTCATGCTTCAAAAGTGAATTCATTCCGAAATGTTCCATTTCAGAGATGATAACCGGGAGAGCTCAACATCCGGCTACCACTCATTTCCCCTTCCTCCACGAGCCACGAATCCGCGTGATGAATCTCCGATTCCTGATACCGAACCAATATCCGTATCTGAATTCTCAGATGCCCATGCCGTTTCTCTATTCCGAACACCTCCACCAACAAAACGACGAACATCATCACAAAAGGATCAGAAAGTGAGCGATGATGATGATTTTGATAAACAGTCTTACGTGTAGATTCTCCAGTGTCTTTCTCATGTTTTCCCAGCTTTTTATGCCCTTTTTCTGTTTTGAAACGAATAAACTCTTTCCGAATTTTAAATTCAGAAAATATATATCTGAAAAGGTAGATGACGTGGTTTTGAAGGAAGCAGAAGCAGTAAAAGAAGAAGGCAGAGCAAACAATAGAAGACGGAATTCTTCCAAAATTAAACCTTTCCAATGTGTCTTGGTGCAGACGAGGTCCTCGTGATTTAAAAAAAAAGAGGGCGGGAAATTGAAAATTTGAGTTGATGGAAGAAAAGTCGAAAGAAACTAAAAAGAATTCTGGAAAAAAGAAAAATTGCAGTCCTTGAAACCTTTTTTGTGTTAATTCCCACGCGTTGTGTGTTGCTAACTGATTCCTTTTTTATCAGCTGAATAGAGAACTAACAAGCTGAAAAAAAAGAAGAAGAGAGAGCTGTTTATAACCAAATCAAGCATCGGGAAAATAGTTCAATCCAAAAAAAGACCGAGGCCTCTCTCGATCATTAATTCATAACTGCCTCACATGTCTGCTGGTTACACATTTCATACTCAACTTCTTTTTTCTTCTTTTTTTTTTGATTGAATGTTTGTTTCTTCAACAAAACAAAAAACGGATGCAGGTGAAACTTCTTTTTCTTCCATAAAATATTTCAGACTAGATAGATTTCGGAGTCAGCAAACGGAATTTTCGTATCTCTTCTGAGCCAGATATTCTTGGATTGACTTTCTGATTTATTTGTACTTTTTGAATTTAATTTTGCAATATCGTGGTGTGATACAATTTTGAAGTACACAGAAATTTAGAAAATCTCAATTTTCTTTGATTTTTTGAAATTTTTCTTTTCCAAGTGTTTTTAATTTCTATAGAATAGCCCATCAGAATAATGAGCAAACACTTCAACAGTTGAATGAGGAGCAGGAGATAAATAAAAACATATGTAGCAAATATATAACAAAAAGTGTCTCGAAAGGCAGGCAATTTATCATTTTTCTGGTCTAGTTAAACTTTCTTTAGAGTTCCAAATCTATTAAATTTGTTTCTGGATTCTGCTCTACGCAGTTATCTTCCTCATGATAAACAAAGTTTTTCTTTTTTGATTTTTAGCGATTTCTACGAACATTATTCAGTTTTATCGATCTGTTTCTAAATTATATTTTATCTTTTGCAGTTAATTGTTATTACAGTACCAGTCAATAAGATATACAACAACGTATTTTTTGTTGATTTTTGGCCATTTTGACCATTTTCATTAGTCTGGAGCTCGGCTGACAAGTTTCCGATCACTTCTAAAATATTAGAGGGTGTAAAAAAGGCCCAGATCGAAAATATGCATTCACGAAATTTTTTGAAACTTTCTAGTTTTTCAGCTTTTTACCGATTTCTGAAAGCCCTCGGTTGTTCACGTTTTAGTTTCACGTTTTAGAATTCATCGTTTTCAATCTAGGTCTCTTTTATACCCTCCAAAATTTTCAAAGTGATGACAACCTTGACAGCCGAACTCCAGACTCCAGAAAATGGTCAAAATGGCCGAAAATCAACTGAAAAATACATTTTTGTTTATATAGTTGGCCGGTATTGTCAATGAAAAGTATGAAAATCTTAAATGGGATTCTAAATTTAACCAGGCATACCTACGGAATCTGTTCTCAAATCTTCACCTGTAGAAACCAGAAATTCAGCTTCAAATGTTGTATTTGCCAACGGAAACACCGTTCAAGAACTATGCGCATGCTTAATATTCATAGAGCAAATTAGTGAAAAACAGTGTTAGTATACTTCCAGGTTTTTCAGAGTTTCTGAAAATTACCTCACTTCACTGTTCCCAAAAATCCTTTTAAAAAATCCCATGTCTTACTCAACCTTGTTTCCTTTTATGAAATGTCTGACAATTGTTCTTTTTTCTGATTTCGGGTCTATTTTCCAAATTTTCCGAAATTCAAATCACCATCTCTTATTTTTTTCCTCTTTACCATTCCATTCTAACCTTTGTAATTTTGTTGTTCTACTAATACAAATCGGTTGTTGTTCTTTTTCCGTACTTTCGTTTTTTTTTTCCAAACTTCTCTACACCCTTTTTTCCTTTATTTCATTTGTCTCTTCTTCCTATCGTTCTTAATTAAAACATGAAGCGTCGAAGCAGAAAAATTATGAATTGAGACCCAGGAGATGAGCATGAAGAAAACGAGAAAAAGGATAGTATGAAGAATTCGTCACTAGAAAAGAAGACGTGGACATCCGTGGAGAGAAAGGAAATAATCATCTTCGCTTAGAACTTGCACAATTCTATAAAAGAGTGCTAACGACTTTTTGAACTTGGAAAGTGAATCAATAATTAAAAACTAGAAGTTGAAAACTTTCGAAAAAAGAAGAGGAGCTCATCCTGGATGCTCCTCCGATCCTTCCATGTTTCTTTTTTTTCTTACTGAATAGATTTCAAGACTAGACATTTCGAATTCAGTTGCTCATTCTCCAGACGATGATCTCCGCTTTTTTCTCATGTTTTCTTCCGTCTGACTCCATTTCCCCAATCTGAATGCAATCAAAGGTTTATCAACCTCCTAATCAGAAATTGAGTTAGATCAAGTTACCTTTTCTCTGCTCTCCTTCATTTTAGAATCATATTCTTCTAGACTTTCGAAACCGAAATATTTTAGAGAAAAGATAATTCGGTCTGACCTTTTTCGCAAAAAAGGTGGATGATTCATGATTTATTCACCCATGTTCATCGCTTTTTGATTCTTTTGAGAGGTGGGTGGAAAAATGAAAATGTCATTTCGGTTTTTTTCAAAGCAGGTGTTACATTCTTCACCTGGAAATGTATTTGAAAAATAGTTTCACCTGGAGAATTTTTAGATTGTGTTTTCTTTCAGATTCCATACTTTTCACATTTGAGAACGAAGTTTTTCAGTTTTCTGAAAGTTGTGAAAACATTTGATTTTTTGTTGTAAATTTTGACATCATAGTTTCGATTGCACCATCTAACGAACTTGAAGCCAGTAACCTTTTCGGACCCATAAACTTTTGTCTCCCTGTTCAAAATGTCATTCTTATCTAGACATGGGGAGCTGCTTCACTTTTCATGGAATGCTTCATGCATTTCCACTTCCATTTTGCCACCCAAATCCAAAACTTTTATTCTTGGGCTTTTTTCAGATATCACATTTATGAATGAGAGCTACAGTATCTCTTTTGTAAGTTTTCAATTTTAATATTATATATTTTCAAAAACTTGAATTTTCTAACAGGAATTGTTGCGATGTTCCACCCTCGCATCATCCTTCTATGAATGCACAAATGCTTTTCGAAACTTGCCATTTTCTTCCACTTCCACCTGCTCCAACGGTAAGTAATCGAGATTTTGAAAAATTAATTTTAGAAATTTAGAAACTTTCGAAATATAAGATGACTTCAGAAAGTTCCACAACACTAAAAAACTAGACCTGCCGTTTTTCCACTAATAGAAGCCCAACCAAACCGTCAATTTTGAGCTCAATTATCTCAATTCCTGTGGAAGATATCAAACATTTGTCAGTTTCTAAATTATTTATCAAAAAGCCACTTATATTTCACCAGTTGACAAAAAGTTGATATGTTTTATAGGAATCGAGATAATTAGATTCAAAGTTGACTATTTAGGTCGGCTTCTAATAGATGAAATACGTTAACTATTGTTAGTTTTTAAGAAAAATCGAAAAAAAAACAACATTGAGCCCACCGACTACCTTATGAAGCAACTTAGTTTTATAGCCCTAGTTTATAGTTTTATAGCGATTTCGTCCAGCTGTTGAAATGTCATGAGCCGTCAAATTTTCGGACTGGTCTAATTCCAAACTACGTAAAACCTGTAATTGAAGGGCCCTCACACTGTCCTGTTTGAATACTCCATTCATTCCTTATATCTGAAATAAGTCAGCTGAAATTCCAATTCTAATATAATAATGAGAAATTTATCAACTGAAGTTATCTCCATTCCTATTCGAAATATCCGAAATGTGTCATCTGACAGAAAATTTTGATATTATGATGAACAGTTTATCAGTTAACAACTTCTTCACATCTTTGACAGGAACCTAGAAAAAATGTCTCAAAGTTAAAAGTTAGGGGCCCTTCTAATGAAGGTTTTACGGTGGTCCGATTGACAACGGATCAAATCAGAATTCTGAAAAATAACTAAGATTTTTTTTTCTACTCAGAAACTGTTCTCAAAATTAGTGTTTCTATGTACTAGCTAGTAAATGAAAAAAATGTAGATGGTTTTTTAAAAATCAACTTTTTTCAGTACCGTGACGCACTGACATCGTCATGTTCGGACCTCATCGAGACTGTTTTGGCGCTTCACTCGAATACTCTGGCAAGTTTTCCTATTTTACTATTAGACTGTTGCCTATTAATAGACTCCCGGTTTGTATCCAAATTGATTCGTCGGTATTCTTTACCTTTTTTACGAAAATGCTATCTTAGAAATTAGTAATTGATAAGAAAAGAATGACGAGAGTGCTGACTGGCCTAAATTCGAAAAACGCTAGAAATTCTTTCTCCGGAAACAACAATTTAATATTTTTGCTGTGCCTGTAAAAAAACAATAAAAAAGCAAAAAGGGCGAGAAGTGATAAAACGGTGCCCCCCAGTTCTTCCCATATTCTCCTCCACATGACACAGTACACGAAGCATCCAAAGGGAGAGAGAGAAAAAGAAAAGGAATCGTAATCGGAGAGAGAGAGAGAGTCACTGTCTTTTTCTTCTATTCTTCTTCCATTCATTTCGTGCTCTTTTTCTGATAATGCCTCGTTGGACGAGCTGTTGGTGTCAAAGACGCAGACGACAAGACAGTGAATCGGTAAGTAAACGGATCCGATGAGAAGGATGATGATGATGACGAAAAGTTACACGACAGAAAAAAGTTCCGATGGTAATCGATCCCTCTTTTCATGGGGGAGGCAAATCGTCTTGTATGCTTTCCGATCACTTGTTTTTCCGTCTTACTTTTTGTTCCGAGAAAATAACTTACATCATTTATTTTCTTGGGTTCAGATCAGTTGGATGTTTGAATTAACTTCAAGTTTTTATTTTTCGTCTAAAATTTGGGAACTTGATAGACAACAAATAAGTACCGGTCCACTGGATATTCAAAAACATGTCTTCAGTTGATTCGAGCATTTTCGGGTCTCTGAAGCCCTGAAAACGGGCCAAAAAAAGATGTCTTTTAAACATCGGCAAATTGCTAAAAAGTAGTAGTTTTCAAAGAACTCTGTGAATGCAAATTTTCCAATCTCTATACGTTTTACACCCTTCAAACTTTTCAAAGTGATCTTGAAGTTGACAACCGTACTATAGACTTCCGAAAATGTTCAAAATCAACAGAAAAATACGGTTTTGTATATGCTGACCCGTACTGAAACTCCGAGAAATTGCAATTAGATTAACTCTGAGACCGAAAAATATCATGCCTTCTTGATTTGGAACTTTTCAGATCCTTTAGTGGATAGTCGGGATTCGTTCTAAATATTCTGCTGAATTCACTTCATAGGAAGTTCAACAGTAACCCATATCACGTCATGTTTTGCATTTTTACCCTTTTCATGAGAAGTATTTGAATACGTGAAGTCTCGAGGAAGAACAGAAGTACTCTATTTGGGCTACACCTATTGTTGTAGTGCGAATTCTTTTGCAATACTGTCTGAAATTTCATGTCGTACTCATCGCTCTGATATCTTTGTTAGTCGGAAAAATGTCACCAATTCGGGATTGGCTTTCAGCTAAAATCAAGATAAGAATCTATTAGGATCGTAAAACGTGTATTAGAAGGAGCCTTTGATATTGAACGGCACATAAAAATTTCACCGAAAAACGAAGTCCCTCTAATAGAAGTGCCCTCCACAGCGGCCCCACCAAAAAAAACAAGTCCATCCTCTAATGGAAGTGACTCTATAGTTGAAGTGCCTCACGAATAATAGAAGGTCCCGCATTTCTAATGCAGGTTTTATGGAGTTCGGGTGATTTGATCACTCGTCAACTTTAGCTCATTTGTTCAGATAATTTGAGACGATCATGAAAATGAGTAGGCTAATTTAAAAAATCTTTTCCGAAGTTCAGATTCCCAACACTAGGACCTAGTATCTATAGTCATTTTCTATACTCATTTCCGGGGGTCCTTATCTAGTTTCTCCATGGCGTCACCACCATTCCAATTCTTCCAATTCCTTCGATTACCTTCTGAGCCATTAACTCGAAAGAATGGGACAACTTCTTCGCATTGAACACTCTGCTTCGATGAGCTCCAACTTCTTCTTCTTCTCCTCCTTCTTTTTGCTGTTTTTGCTGCTCTTCTGATTTAGCTTCCTCTTCTCTTCAAAAATGATTGGAACTGATTAGTCCTTCTCTCCTTCCAGTCCCATTAATCAATTAAGAGACCGGAGAAGAGCGGTTGCACGTAGGCCCATCCCCCGATTCACACAGAAATAAGTTGAGATTCTCCATTTTTCCATTATTCTGCAAAAATGTTGTCCCGAAAGCAACGGAGACAAAGCAGTGTCAAAATGAGTACAGTGGTGAGTTTCATATAGTAAATAGAATATAGATTTTGATTTGGTAGTTTAGGGGTTCACCGGAAAACTAAGTAGATTCTGACTCTCGTAACACCAGTTCAAACCATCATACGTTCCTAAAACAGACATCTGTCTCTATACCAAAAAAGGAAAAACATGAAAATTCGGGAAACGCACAATACTGATTTTGAGGAGGAATCCAGTTTGTTCAGTTAGCCCCTTCCCAACCTATTTTGCATATGTTTCTCGGCTATTCGCTCTTTTCATTTTCGATCAACGAATAACTTTTGTACATATATTCTCACCCCATTTTCCTTTTTTATATTTCAATTTCTGATTTTTTGGTGAACCTTATGATATTCCCTATCGGAATACCTATGCTCCGCAAAAAGCGAGAGGTAATTTTTAGTGATGGTTCTCTAGAAAATTCAAGAAAGTCTCATTCCAAAATCGTATTCATTTTCAGAGTGCTCAAGAAGCTGTTTCACTGCGAGAAGCAGCCGAACGTCGATCACAATTCGCTCGTGTTCCAGCTCGTTCCGTCTCCGCGCCTCCCAGAAAAAAGTGGTTCCGATCGAAACAGCAGTTATCAGGTACTGTATTTTTTCGGGAAGAAAATGATCGCTTTTTTTCAAACCTACTTTTTTCTATAAAAGTTTGAATTTCAAAAAATTTAGTATGATCAACCCACCCACCATACTTTATTATTATCTGTGATTTACTTATTTTGACCTTTAAAGTTGATTTTTATCACAAAACATGCTGTTTCCTTCCGGTCACTTTTTCGATTAGTCACCTTTCTCACAACCATAATACTTTTTACATTGAAAAAACTGTACCCAGTATTATTATGACATCACCGACCATTGTGTACTTTTTGTTAGGTTTTTGAGAACACCAGCTGTGAACATACCATTGAAGTGCAGCAGTTTTTTTTTTAATTCTGACCTTATGTTTTCGGCATTTTGAATTCTGGCCAGTTTGAAAAATGACCCACCCGAACTTTAAGATTTTTCATCCCCCGCCCTATCTTCTTTTTCTGCATGTTTTCTTGTTCCTTGCAAAAATATGATTCTCAATCTGAAAACCAATCCATAACATAAAAGAATTGTTTTGAGACAATCTGCTCCTGCTCCTACATCAATCGACATCTTTTTCCATTTTATCATTGTTTCCAGGCGCCACCGATGGAATGGACGGTTCATCGCGTGCCGGATCTCAAGAGATTGTCTGTGACGAATTCACCAAAAAACTCGTAGCAGCAATCACAACGTGGCACGATATTCACTCGTCTTTGCTGCAGTTATCAATCGGTAAGTGGATCTTTTTGGTGTTTGGAAAAAAATTCCATATGGATCAGTTTTGGATTCAGAAGTTTTTTTTAATTGTAAAATCATGGCTTTTATCTGAAAAATACCGTAACTGCTCTATCCACATGGGCCTCTTTTTCTTTGGGAAACTGAACCAGTTCTGGGTTCTTGTCAATGTTTTTTAGTATGTTAGAGATAGTGACACACAAACCCATTTGGTTGAATCAGTATTCTAATAATCGTAAAACCTGTAATAGAAGGGCTCCTACACTGTCAGGTTTGAGCTGATTTATCTCAATTTCTATGCAAGGTATCAAAAATGTCTCAACTGAAAGACATTTCTGATATTATGATACGCAATTTCTCCGTTTACAACATCTTTGGCAAGGACCGAGAATAATTGGTTCAAAGTTAAAAGTTAGGGGCCATTCTGTTAGAGGTTTTACGGTAGGCCCAACCTACGTAGGTTAATTTTAATTAGGCAATTTTTTTCATCTCACAATTTTTTTTTAATATTTGATAGCCTACCCTACAGAGGGGCATATGATTAGCGTCAAAATGCCGTCGTGTCTCGTTCAGGGTGCTATTGGAACACCGAACCGGTATACCTAGCTCGCTGACGTCGTGCCTTTTTCTTGAACCATCTGAGCATCTCATTGGTACGGTTACCGCGTTGCACATATGAAAAAAATTAGGTGAAAACTCGATGTTTCCCTTTTCTGAACACTCTCGAGTTTTTATAGTTTCCTTGAATCCTCCATTTTCTCATTGTTAGCTCATCATTCTCATCAGAATCAATTCTCTATATTGACGTCAAAACTTCTGGAATGCCCTCTTATTCTATTCTTCCAAGTTTCGGTCTCTTGTCCTATATCATTCAGAAGAAGATTCTCCTTCCTCTCTGTACCTTCCTTCATTGCGGATGCGCATTTTTATGCGAGGGCGCATCATCGTCAAAGATTTTCATTAGTTAATGAGAAAAATAGCAGGACGTCTTTTTGAAAAGAGCATCTTCTTCTACTTCTTCTGTTTGATGAATGTTTCGGGTGAAAACAATTGGATAGAGACGAAAAAAACCAAAACAATATTGAATCCGTAAAGTTCATTTTCAGAGCGATCCTCAAATGACTCGAATGACGATGAAAACGTGTCTGAGTCATCTGAATCTTCCTGGTCGTCGGCTTCAGATTCCGACTCTGACGATGATGGAAACGGAGGGAATTCGAGCAATCACTTATCCGCTTCAGCTGCTCGATTCTCAATTTCAAACCCTGATTTAACAAATTGTCAAATCAAACAGATGTTTCCAGAAATGGCAGATCACTGGAGGTACAGTGTGAGAAACAACACAACTATAGTTTTTTTAAAGTTTAAAAAGACGTATGGAGGATGCTTCCCAAAAGCTGTAGAATTGTTTTAATGTTTTTCACTAGTATTCATATGAAATTATTCGAAAATCATAGATTTTTTATGAACGGAAGTTTATTATAAAGCGTTTGCTAACATCCAAGCACCCTCCATACGTCCTATGATATCATAAAATCGAATCGCTGTTGGTAGGAAGAAGAGCTGAATGGCTTCTTTTTATACTCATTCAAAAATCGCTGTAAAGCCTCAAAGAAATCCCCAAGAGAAACTATTAAACGAACAATGATGATACCGTTATCGTCAAAAAAAACCACCCAACCCACAAGGACAAATGACCTTTTCGTATTCTCCGAAACTTTCGCATGAGCTCTTCAAACCTCTCAAAACCGGAAATCAATGGGAAATGTGGTATAAATCCCTCTTTGGCGAAAAAAGAGAGTCACTTTGGCCGGACGGAAATTGCAAATCACCAGGAGCAAGGTGCTGCTGTGCTCTTCTTCTTCTTCTTCTTCTTTTATAAACGCCGCTCATCGTCACATGAGAAGTGCATCACCGACTTGTTCCGGATTAGAGAAAGAGCTTGGATATTGCAACACGACTATAGAAGCTTCATGGAGAACCACCACCATAAAAATCTAATATCTCCAGCTAGCAAGAAAAAAACAAGAGCTCATTTCTTTTCTTTTTGCCTCTGACACCTGGTCGGAAAAGGGCGATTGGATTTAGACTTCTGCCGATTCTTTTCCTCATATTCTTTTATATTTTCAGCTAGATGTTGAAGAGATAAGAATGACTAAAAACATATAAAAAGCGGAAAAAACTAAAAAAGCGAGACGAATTTTGAAATGCATGAGTTGTGTTGGCCATGAGACTAATGGGCTTTGAGAATGGATTTCCTTCTTCTTTCTCCTTTTTTCGTCGTTCGCGGTCTAAGTATACGCAGCTCCTTTTGCAACTTTCCCTCAAATTTTTTATACCACCGACGACGTCATATTATTGCCACATCATAACAAATTCATAACTTCCAAGGTCAAGAGGACTAAAAAGGGATGGGTCATTGGAGAAGGAATGTTATTCTCCTATTTCCGATTGTAAAATTCTGACAAGTTCTATAATTTTAGTTTGTTCCCGAATTTGGAATTTAAAGAAGATAGAATCTAATATACCGTAAACACTCTAATAGATGATCACCGTGTACTTATACTTTGAGCTCAATTATCTAGATTTCTACAAGAAATAGCAAAAATCCGTCAACTAGTAAAATGTTGGTCATAATGTGACTAACATTTTATAAGTTGACTTATTTTTGATATCTTTCATAGGAACTGAGATAATTGAGGTCAAGCAAGTATAGTGTGGCCTTCTCTTTGTGTTAACAATAGTGGCGTTAGAAAATTATGAGCCATACATCCAGAACTGACAATGGTGGTTTCATAAATCGATTTTTCGTATGTAATAAGAGAAAAAGTCCGTTGCTATGTCTCTTTTCTATTGGGGTCCTCTGAACTTGACTTTCACTCTTCCACAACTTTTTTTGCAGGCTAGGATGATAATCCCAGCTTTTAAAATTGGAATTTTCCTAAGTTTATCACAATTCTTCCATTGGAACCATCAATGTAAGGCATTGTAAGGTACATACCTAACTTCATAACTTTTAAATAATATTTTGAAAACTACTAGGTTGAAATTTTCGAAATCAGGCTGAAATATACAATTAGAGGATATCGAAAAACACGACCTAGATTTCAGATCAATCATTCCTATTTTTGATTCACCTTATGTATTTTGATCAGTCTAAGAACCCAGTAGATTACCTTGAAGATAATTTTTCCCAGTTACCAAAACCGATGACTCGTCCTCCAGAAGAGTCGAAAAAATGAAAAAGGGCAAACCGAAGAAACCGAGTTACCCTTTTAATTTGCGTCTTGCTCATTTCCTCTCCTCATTTTTTTCGGGCTTAAAACAAGCCCTCATCCTTTGCGGTTCCCCTCTTCTTCTTTGCTTTTTGCCACCACCAGAGGCTCTCACCACAAAAGTGGGCGGAGCCAAGGGATGGCTTGAGGACGACGGATTAACGTGTAATGGGGGCGCGACGACACTACGTGAAGGAGCCAGTCAACGAGAGAGAGAGAGAGAGAGAGAGAGAGGAGAGTCTCACATCGTGGGGCACACCGACACCGAATTAGATGTCCTAATATCATTTTCTTCTCGTTCCTGTTATCCAATATTTCTTCTTCTCAATACTTCGTCGCTTTTTTTGTCGTATTAATATTCTCTTAATAGTCTTATCCTTCGTCGGTGTCGTCAGTCGATTGGAGCACGATGATGACGGCGTTGCGGAAGAACAGCTCGACGGAAGATGCATTCCTTCCAACAAGCAGTACATCAGGTCTAAAGAAGCACCGCAAAAAGAAAAAATCAATTGCCGAAGCACAATCAAATCCGGTGTTCGTCATCTCAGCAGATCCATCTGGAGCATCACCTAGCACGTCACCCAAACCAGCTCACAAAAGGAAGAAGCGGAGTTGGAGAGGTGAAAGTGCAGCAAGAAAATTGAGTGAGGCACTTCCAGCTGCACTTCGAAGTCCGACTCAAATACTAAAAAGAACCAAAAAACCATTGGGTCCAAGTCTAAGTTGGGATCCAGAGCATCGGAGTAGATCACCATCAATGACGCGGAGTAGGGTACATTCAGATGGAAGTTCAGAGACAGGAGGAATACACGAGGGAAAGAATCATGAAGAAGATGGAGGAATTGTGGAGGAACCAAGATTCGAGTTGGAAATTACTTGCATTCATTGTACAATGGCAGCTGAGCATCGGAGACGAATGTTGAAGGTTCGTGATAGTTTTATTGTGAGGAGGGATAGAAAGTGAAAATGAATGCAAAATAAGCAAAGAATTATACTTTCAGCCTTTTTGTTAACTGATAAAAAAGTAGAAGATTTCAACTGGAAACTTTCGATTCCACTTGACTAGATTTCCAAAGACACCTGTTATAAAACTAGCCAGTTAAAATCAAACTTTTTTGGTTTATCATCATTCAATATTTAGAAAAACCCTCATGTTTATTTTTCACTAGGTCCATAAGTTTCCCGGATATCGAGTTTCAGTTTTGAAAGGTTTTTACATTGGGTACACTTTTTTTTCGAAAAGTAGTTGAAATTTGATTTGTTTTCAGAGTTTAGAACATTTAGCCTAAAATTCTCAGAGAGCTTTCTAATCTTACTATCAGTTTTTATAAGAACGAACTATAAGTTCTCATCGGAAATCCAGCAGCGGATTACGGATGAAATCGGCAATCTTGTGTCCCACTTTTATCATCTTTTCCCCTGTTTTTTCTCGTTCACTCAATACCTGAAAACATTTTTCCATCCATCCATTTTCAGACGGAAATCGAAAGTGCTGTCATGCGGCTAGCACGTCGTCTTGGGAACGGAAGAAGCGGAATTCGAGATGAAAGTCCATCTTCAAATCATTCATCTACAACTGTTCATAGGCATACAATCTCATCACATCATAGAGGAACTACACCGGATATCGTTGTTTCATCGATTAGCTCCGATGAGGAGGATCATAGTGTGGATAGATATACGAGCTCCGAGTTGGGAAATTCGTTGCAAACTTCGGAAGCGAGGTGAGTGAACTTTGAATACCGTATTTGATCTAATAGAAGCCCATCCTTCTTTAAGCTCAATTAGCTCGAGTCCTGTGGTAGATATGAAAAATCAGTCAACTGATAAAATATAGGTGACATTATGATAAATATTTTATCAGTGGAATATTGTTTGATATCTCTCATAGGAACCGAGATAATTGAGCTCAAAGTGAACGTATAGGGTGGGGTTCTATTAGTGCCGATAGGTGTTGTTAGGAAGTAAATTTTAGAATGGAATCTGAATTAGATTATAATTTTTAAAGGAAGTTATTTATATGAAATTTTGGTTACTTCCAGTTTTTTTTGATTCACTAAGTATAAGCGCCAGTCAGAATCTTAGATGATCTTTTGACTATAATATTCCAGACATTAATCATTCGAAATAAAAAAGTCTACAGTTAAAAATAGTCACACTTCTCCCATTGGTCTCTCGACGTTATGTATGTTGACTTTTAGTTGTTGCGTGCTTCTCCATAATCATTCAGAATCGAATCAGTCAAACTGCAACATGATAGATCGACTTTATTTTTCTAAGTCTCCAGTCTATCTCATAATGTTACTTCTCGTTTTGTTTTATTTTTTGGTGCGTATCTGTGTGTGTGCTACTGCTCTCTCCGAATCACGGCAGTCGGTGGCCACCATAGGATTAATACTTTTTGAGAGGGACAAATCCCTGAAAGAATTAATCTCAAACAGAGATAAAAGAAGAAAAATAAGAGTGAGGATGCGTTGAGATGAGATGAAAAAAGAGAAGAAGAAGTCGTGTCGCGTAATCCTAATCGACTGAGGAACCAGCACAGTTGATTCTAGGAGAAAAAGTAGGACTTTACGTGGGGTTTAGGTTTTTGAAACTGATATTAGATTATGTATACCAGATGGAAACGAAAAATTATCTTTCAGCTCTCCCGGATCATCGACATGCACAAGCCCAAATCTTCCTCGAAATGGGAACGAAATGACATTCGACAGTCCTGGATCAGACCAATTAACACCTCCATCCCCTCTACGTCTCCAACCTCCATCACTTCTTTCGCCATATCCAGATTCTGCATCTCCTCCAAGATCAAACTCAGTTGATCTTTCAACACTCCGAAGAGATATTGAACTACTTTCAGTCTCTTCTGGAGATTCTGATATAGCATCTGATACTGATTTTGAGCCACCAACACCCGCTGAATCAGTCCGAACATTTCGTTCGAAAAGTCACGATCCGACCAATAGCGATTCGATTTTAAGACGTCCCAGTCGAATGATACACCTTTCTGAGATTTTTAGGCGCTTTATTTATTTTTTAATAACTTGAATCTAACAGAAGGACTCTTTCAGGAAGGCGTTGGCTAAATCACCAGTTGTTCGGAGGACAGCAGCAGATCAAGAGACCAACAATCCAGTGAATAAGCATCGAAGTAGTCGGTATTGGATTGAGGATGAGGTTCGTGATTTGTGCTTTGCAAAATTTTGAAAAAATGAAAAATTTTGTTCCGGGTGGATTATGCTCGCATCCTACGCAGCACAACTTTGATCATGCGAATTGAAAGTGTGTGATTTCAGGGAGACTATCATATTCTTCCATCTGAACATGTCTGGTTACCATCGTCGACAGGATCGTCTGCTTCTGCAGATTCAGAATGCTATGTGGGCGAGAAGGATTGTAGGCGTTCTGGAGAGAAGAGGAGATGTGCTGCATGCCACGTCGTTGCTCATACAAATTGCTTCTCGCTTTTGGCCAAGTTGAATCTGAATTGCAAAACGACGTTTAGAGATTATGCAACAAAAAAGACACCAACAAAAGAGAGCACAGATGGATTAACAGCACATCATTGGGTGCATAAGGTTAGTCTCTTTTCTCTTTATCAGAAAGAATATAAAAGATTTATCAGTGGCGACATGAAGGAAGATGCAACACCTGTGGAAAATCCTTCCAACAAAAAATGTTTTTCCAAGGAAAAGAAAAGAAAGAAACAATTGCGGTAGCATGTTCATGGTGCAAAGAATCATATCATCTTAAAAATTGTTTTGCGAGGGACAAACTAGAAGAAAGATGTAATCGAGGAGCACTCAAAGAGATGATAGTCCCACCCACGTGGATACTTCGATTGGCCAACCGGAAAAGAAGCAGTCGAGCACCTTCTGCTCATCCCAGAAAGCATAAAAGATCCCATCGGCAGTTTGTGGTAAAACCAACCGATCTTTGGTCCAGTGGTCCATCTCAACCACTTTTGGTTTTTGTGAATCCAAAATCAGGAGGTAACAAAGGTTCAAAGGCATTGCACACTCTTTGTTGGCTCCTGAACCCACGTCAAGTCTTTGATATTACTTCGTTAAAAGGTCCGAAGTTCGGTTTGGAGATGTTTCGGAAAGTAGTCACACAGCTGAGAATTCTTGTTTGTGGAGGAGATGGAACTGTTGGATGGGTGTTATCGACCCTTGATAATGTAAGTGTCTTCCTGGTACTCTTCAGAACTTTTTTAATTATTTAAGCTCAATTGGCCGGCTTACCCTCCAATGGCAATCATGCCTTTGGGAACTGGAAATGATTTGGCAAGATGTATGGGATGGGGAGGTGTCTTCTCAGATGAACCGATTAGTCAGTTGATGCAAGCTATTCTTCATGAGACAATTGTGACTCATTTGGATAGGTGAGTGTTTAAAGGAAAAGTTCCAAAAGTTTTCAAGCTGTGGGGTTCAGATGGAGAATTGATGTTGAGCCGAATACATCGTGCAACTTGGAGGAGGAAGACGATGGCATGCAGTCAGCACTTCCATTGACTGTAATGAACAACTACTTTTCGATTGGAGCAGATGCTCATGTCGCATTGCAGTTTCATCATTCAAGAAGTGAGTTATTTATCTTTTTCGAGTATAAATTTCTATTTTTCATCAGGTGCCAACCCACAAATGCTAAATTCTCGACTAAAAAATCGAATTGCTTATGGTGGTCTCGGAACCATTGATTTGTTCAAAAGATCATGGAAAGATCTCTCGGAATACATTACTTTGGAATGTGATGGAGTAGATGTGACATCAAGAATCAAAGAATTGAAGCTTCATTGTATTCTCTTCCACAACATTACTTACTACGCAGGAGGAACGATTCCATGGGGTGAATCTTCTGAATCCAAACCGAGTTGTTGCGATGGGAAAGTTGAGGTTCTTGGATTCACAACTGCTACGCTTGTGAGTTTTTTAAAAACTTTTATCAACGAAATCTTTGAAAAATAAGTATTTTGAGGCTGCCCTCCAAATGGGTGGAAAAGGAGAACGAATATCTCAATGCTCACGAGTCAAAGTGACAACCAACAAGGCGATTCCGATGCAAGTAGATGGAGAGCCATGCCTTCTTGCTCCATCTGTAATCACTCTTGGATTTCATAGTAAAGTTCCAATGTTGAAAAGAGAAAAGAAGACTCCATGCACACCGAATCTAATGAGAAGAGGAACAAGATATGGGCAAAAGGATTCACAGGTTCAATCGACTTCATTGATTATTCAATTGCCGGTGATTGTTGTTGGACGAGCTGATTATGATACCTACAAGGACTGTTTCGAGAGACTCAAGGATACTGGTAAGTCCTTGTTGAAAATATATGGATTTTTCAACTGAAATTTTCTTTTCAGCCTACGAAATCGGAATCGTCAATGTAGAATCAGAAGCTGAGCTTGATTCAGCTCGTGTATTGATCCAACGTCTTCTGGTAGAGCACAACTCTCTTCCCTACGAACCCGACAAAAATTGGAGATTTTTGGACTGTAAGTGTCCCCTATTAGACTCCTAAACTATTCTAAAATATTCCAGACGTCTCGAATGCTGAAGAAGGAACATTCCGTGTTTCCCGTCAACAAGAACATGTTCAGAGTGTCAGTGATGTATGTAATACCGATGAATGTCTTCTGATTCTTGACCACGCCTTCCCATCAATCACAGATCGTGAAGCCGTCGAGTTGTTCCAGCCTCAACAACCAGTATCGTAAGTTTCTTCGCTTCTTATTTCGATGGAAATTCCTGGCTTCAGGTCATCGACGTCTTCTAGTACTCCACGCTACCATAATTCTCGCCGAATATCCGAAACTCTTCGAATAGTTTTGAGTTCAGATGCTCAAGAAACTCATTTATAGGATGACTAAATTACTTATTTTGCTTTCATGTGCTAAAGACTACTTTCTCTGATTTCAAGTTTTAAACTTTTTTGTATTTATCAATTGCTAGTTCAACTTTTATTCTTCTTTTTCTCCAATTTCTCATTTTCATGTTCTAGGTGAAATGATTTAAAATTATTTAGCATCGAGATCTCGTAGCGGTTTTATTCTGGTCTTTTCTTCTTTCTCATTTCTAATCGGAATGATTTAAAAATGCTTTCTCTATCCCTTTTCTACTGTTTTTTTTTTAAATCCAATATTAAATCCAATATTTTCCAGAGTAATTGGAAAAGCATCGTATATTGTATATTACAACTTAATGGTTCTTTGTGATAAATGTGGTTTTATTTGGAGAAAAAATTTAGATTTCGAGGTTTATAGGAATGCAAAAAATGAAAAGAAAGTAATTCATCTCCAAACATTTTGAGAGCAGCAGCGGTCAATGTATTTGATGCTCTCGTCGATCATCAACTTTACAGATTCCAAAACTGCACTCATCGCCAAATTTCCAAATCCATGTGTCATCTCAAAAAAACCTTTTGAAAAGAATTTTGAATCATATTAAAGTACCAAAGTAAAGTGGAAAGATGTTGTTGAACGGAAGGATCGATTGGAAGCATATTTCTTGGAAAGTATGGGGTCAAAGGTGTCCGATCGCAGGAAAGCAGTTCAGCCAATTCACCGACTACTTTTCGGCTCATTTCCAGTGCTGCTCTTCTCTTGACGACATCAGGATCGATTGCCAGAGATGTTTTTGTCAAGTAGACTCCGATTTCTCTCGAATGAAATTCTTTCTCGCATACTAGGGCAAAATCTTTAGCCATGTGAATTGCTTCTTCTGAAATATTTTGAACTATCGTAAATCTGTAATAGAACGGTCCCCTAACTTTACTTTTAATTTCGAGTTAAATCTTAGTTCCTGTCAATGATATAAAAAAGTTGTTATTTGATTAATTGTTTATCATAATTTCAAAAATATTTTATCAATATCTTGCATAGCAGCCAATAAAAATTGACACAAACATGACAGCATAGGGGCCCGTATATTACAGATTTTATTAGGATACCGTAAAACCTGTATTAGAAGGACCGGCTTTTCTAATGTTCAGTGGGGCCCCCAGATGGCCTTTCTATTACACGGACCCTTCAATTAGAGGGGCTATTCTATTTTTCCGCTCAATTTTTTCAAAAAATTTTCATCGCATAATGCAGTGAATTCTCGTAAAAAATCATGAAAATATATCAATTTCACAAAACTTGAGCAAGTTTTTTAGCAAAAAAAGGGTTTTTCAATAAATTTCTGCGAACGAAATCATAAAATTTCCGGAATATTTTTCACTGGACAATTGAAACAACACATTTTGAAGGGAGTCCTTCTAATACAGGTTTTTCTGGACATTGGAGTTTTTAGAGTTGTAAACCCCCAGAACCTTCAACAAGAGCTGTCCATGCAGTAACATTTGCTTGCTTTCTTCTTCCAGCTGGTAAAGCCAATCCCAACTTCTTCAGTGAATCTCTCAATGTTTTCCCACCGTCCTTTGACTTTGCTCTGTTGAATAAGTCACTCAAATAATATTTTTATGTCACGGCTTTGACTTACTTTCTCAAAATTCCTCCAAGAAGCGAAGCATTCAAACACTCTGGCGGACTTATTCTTCTTTGGATTTCAGCTACCGTAACCTGATACTTTGTTGTGGAACTCAAAAGACTGGTACGGCCAGGAACAGTACAGTATACTTCACCGACGATTTCCAATGGTGAATTACAATCAGAAGCAAAGAAAACAAACGGACGGTCTTGTTTTGTGGCAACTTGATCTGAATTTTGAATTTTAATTGAGTTTTCTGAAGTTAATTGATTACTGTAATTAGCTGTGTGATCTCTATCCTCTGCTTTTGGAATACAGTAATCCTCTTCTCCACTTCCACCATTTCCTTGCGGCTGTTGTTGTTGTGCCTGCTGCTGTGGAGGAGCATTAAAGAACTGTTGCGGATTACTGTTTCCTTGGAAATCTCTGGCATAGGTAAATGTACTGACTCCACAAACTGGTGGTTGAATCAAATGAGGAGGATACGGTATATCATAGTGGCACGAGATGTGCATGTGAGATGGAGCAAATGTACGCATGTTTTCGTACTACAAAAATGGAAAAAAAGATAGAGATGAATAGCAAGAAGAGGGCGGAGCTTACGAATGGAGGCCTTTGAGAAGATTGTTGATGTTGCTCATCTTCATCTTCTTCGTCACATTGTGATCCGCGTACGAACTCGTCGTCAGAGCATTCCATGAGTTTACGATTGAACATTCTGAAATGGGAACTATAATAGGACAAATCGGGAGAAGGATTTGGATTCTCGGAACAATAAAATGCTGAGAGATTGGAGACATTTTTCGAGTCAACTACAGGGATGAGACATTTTCACTTCGATTTGTCAGATGTAATAATGATATTGATCAGCTTTCAGAAAAAAAAGTTACAGGAATTTTAACGGATTGATATTTTTCGAAGTCCTGGTATTAAATTGGCACATAAGTTTGTTTCGATTTTGAATGCTCAACTTTGAAAATTTATAACTGTTCAGTGGGATGATTTTTCATGGCGGGTGTTTTTTTTTGTTAGATAGAGTATCTCGCGGACTTTCTCTATAAACTTTGCCTCATACCTATACTTCTTGTCGTTCGCGAGAATGCCGCCTGTTTTCGTGCTGTACCGTCTACACTCTCAAAATTTCATTTTTATTTTAATTTGTTTCTGGTTTAAAAAAATAATGGTATTCATAAGAAAATGAAAGAAATAGATGTAGCAGAAACTCCTATTGTCCCTACAATTGATGAACTTGGGCCTCTTAAAGAATCCTGTTTAAACCGATCCGTTTCGAGCCACTCGTAAAATGTCAAAGGTGTTGTCCGTTAGTCAACCAAGTATTGTGAACTTATTGAAGTCTCTTGGCAACTTCAAGAACTGCGTTGATTTGTACACACTGTTTTGTAGGGCTATTATATGGATTGCCGTGCTGACAAGATCATGTTTCTCCTATAATTTCTTTGCACGTTCAGTTGGGTGGATGATCTAATTACCGGAGATGAGAAGTTGGTAAGCTACCTTATCAATGTACAGAAGGGACAGCTGATTTATAATGACTAGCTAGCTGTGGACGTCTCGAAACCTAAATTTCACGAGGACGAGGGAATGCTTTGTCTTTAGTGGTCTGTCAAAGGAATGGAGACTGGGGACTTATATATAAATTCTCGAAAATATTATGAATTCAAAGTTTTCAATATAGATCTGTTTTATAACCTCCAAACTTTTCAAAGTGATCGGAACTTTGACAGCTGAGCTCCAGACTCTGGAAAATGGTCAAAATCTACTGAAAACACGTTTTGTATATATTATTGACCGGTACTGTAGTCTAGTTTGTAAAATAATATCTTTCTGGAACAGTTTTTCCGTCTACGACTTTTTTCTGAAAGCCGACCTGAACTAAGATTTCACTGAAAAACCAAACTATCGTTCAATTTCAGTGATTCCTCAAATTATACAGTAATACAATAAAATTATTACCGGCTTTCGAGTCTTACGATTTTCTAGAAAAACGGCAGGAAAAGTCAGAAAACTCTAATGGTTCCTACAACTTTCAACTCTACTGCTACGATAGTTTGTAGGACTTGCATTTCTATATCACCTATATGATCAGAAAGAATGTTTTTTTTAAATTACAGAAAGAATGTTTATAACAGTAAAAACATAAAGCATAAAGTAAGAAGGAAAAACTGAAATACTGAGTCTGTTTTCATGCTGAGCATTCTGAAGAGCAGAAGGATTGCTGAGTGGAAAATCAAATGAAGAGGAGGTTGGCCATGAGGTCGGCGGATGAGGAGAATATGAATTTTATTAAACGTGAGAGCTTGTGATGATGAAGAAGACGAGAAGAAGAAGCACATGGGGATTTACTCTCTTGCCACTCAGGATTACTGTAACTCTTGGAATAAGCTTGTTGGAAATTTGAATGTGGACCTATTTTCGTATGGGAAACTTGAGTAAATATTTGCAAGAAAAGATGGAAAACGAGTTCCTGAAATGTGTTAAATATATTAGAAATATGAGAAAACACTCAATGAGAAATAATTGAGAGCTACAGTATACCGGACCAGAATATTATTATTATTCTGGTACACAAAAATGGGAGATGTGGAAGAGAAACGCAGGTGGCCGAAGATCTCACAACGACAACAACCGTAAACAAGAAAAAAATATCTTCGGATTTTTTCTCATCTGAATCAGTGAAAACCGAAAAAACAAATACTGAAAAGAAACAATTTTTAAAACAATAATATAAAATGTTTAAAGATGTATTTTCAAATATTCCAAATACTTATTACTGTATTTTTTAAATTATTAGTTCTCGTTATACGGACCGACAAATGTATTTTTTGTCATTTATTGTAATTATCTAGGTGTTTCCTGTAAATGGTGTTTCGAAATTGTTTGAATCACTCAGATAAAATATTACACACAAATGTATGCAGGTTTACAAAAATTAAGCCACGACCGAATTACCGTAATTAGCAAGTTTTTTTCTCGATTTTCGCCTGTTTTCCGACAATTTTTTAGGTATTGAAAAATTTTATTTTTTGACTGTTCGGATATATCCCACACAAAAATTGTCGAGAAGCAGTAGTAATCAAAAAAAGAAGCAATTTTTAGGTTATTGTGGTTCTTTTCTCTTCCGCAGCTCTTTTTTTGTACCAGAATGATACTGTAATTCTTGAAATCGAGAACGTTCACAATCCAGAGCATGTTTCTTTTCCAATACTTTCTTGAAATTGTTTTGCAAACGACACATTTAATATTTCGCATCTTCAGTTAATTATTCAATTCTCCAAATTGAGCTTAATTTCTCCCGGATTATTCTCTTAACTGCCCTTCCAAAGTGGTCTCTCCTCCTATCTTCTTCTTCTTCTTTTGCGCATTTCCTGCCAGCGGATCGCAGAAGACGCAAATGCCTTTATGTCTTTGGGGAGTACGCAATGTTTCGTGAGAGTGTTAGACTATGCATCTAACATGACGCACATCGTTTTCGGGTTATTTTTTATCCATAAAATCAAATATGTGAAAACCGTCCAAAATTCGAATCCATTAGAAATTTCAACCGTAAATGGACTATCCACAGACACCCCAAAACTCTTCCCTTTTGATTGGTTAATAAATAGATAGACTAGAATTAGAGGCAGTTGCTCATTCTTAAATCATTCTTCTTGTTTTGGATGACTATGAAAACATTTTCTAAATAGCCTTGAACCCCAGAACAGTGTTCGTTTCATGGCCGAAAAATTTGTTGTCTGATCGCTCATTATTAAGATGTATTGATTTTTCTTGAGATGAACCTATTGAGAGACAAATGTACAGATGACATGGGACACCAAGTCAATAAGACGTCTACACATGACAGTTATTTAGTTTTCTCTCATTTAATAGATTTTTCTGCACTCTATCCAAAACCTATCCAAACCAAAACCCTATCCAAAATGAACCAAACCGTATCCAATTTTGCAATAAATAAATTCATTAGTCGTAAATTGGAGATCAAAAACTTCATAGACCTCCATTTTGTTTGATTAATTTTTTCCTTTTTTTCGTAATTCCATTTTGCTCTACCATTTTGGTTTAGATGAATTTTTCAGAACTTTCATAATTTTTTTTTAGTATTTTGATTTATGACATTTTTTAGCCTGAAAAAAACTAAAAAAAACCAACCTTTCAATTAATTTTTAATTATTTTTTCTAGAAAATGACGAAAGACGCCGACGAACTAACATCAGTTCGTCTGGAGATTCTCAATCGATTAAAACAGAAGGAATGCCAACAGAAGAATTTGAAAACTATGCTAAGTCATTATTGCATGTTAGATCAACAGCTACAGCAAGCCCAAAGATCCCGATCAGTATCTGTTAACCAAGAAGTACAAAATGGAACTGTAGATGAGAGATTGGCAGTTATGAAAGAGGAAATGGCGAATGTGTACAGAATGAAAAGCAAGAATGATCAGGATCTGATTGATGCAAATCGAAAACTAGCTGATAGTGAAGCACGACATTCTTTGGTGGCATCTCAGAGGGATAAGCTAAGGAAAGAAGTGGGTGTGATGTTGGATAAAATGAAAACTCTTGAGGTATGTTTTATTTTTCTCTAAAAAAGAAATTTTTCAATTTAGGAAGAACTAGCAGATCTAAGAGAAAAGAATACAGCAATCAACACAGAAAGAGTGGCTTTAGTTGCAACTTGCAATTTTTTGACTGAAAAGAAAACACAGTTGGACACCGAACGCTTCCAGTTGTTGAACAAAATCCGGGAGCTACAAGAAAAATCAGCAGAATATATGAATGCTGAAATAGCACTTCAAGAAGAACGAGCTCAATTACGGATACGAGAACAAATTGCAAGAGCCACAGCTGATTTGAATTTGAATGATGATCGAGTTTTGGCCAGTTTCGAGACTCCAGAAGCCGATGAGTTCATGATGACGGATGTTTTGCCTTCAGAAGTGAAGTTTAGAATGACAGCTCATGAAGGAGAAGTGCATGACGTGGAATGGATGTCAGATGACATGTTTGCAACCGCTGGAAGTGATTCAAAAGTTCGAATTTGGAGAGTGTCTCCCAACAAAACGGATGCAACAAAAGTGTCTACGTTGACTGGATGTGTCGGACCGATTAATCGATTGGATTATGACGCTCAAAGACATGTGATTCTCGCATCTAGCAATGATAAAACATGCAGATTATGGAATGTAGACTCGCAAAGACTTCTCAGCACATTTTCAGGACATTCTGATAAAGTTTCAGCAGCAAGGCAAATTAATTTCAATTTTACATATGCCATAATTCATAATTTTATTTTCAGATTATTCCAATCACACAATGTAATTTCTGGATCAGCAGATCGGACAATCAGGCAATGGGATATTAGCAGCATTCGGTGTCTTCGATCTTATCTAGTTGGGTCAACCATTTTTGATATTGCTACAGGATGTGGAACTTCTCAAGCCAATTTTATTTCTTCTCATTTCGACAAAAAAGTAATTTTTCTCGTTTTTTCTACTTTCTTAATTTTACTTTTCAGGTTCGTTTCTGGGATGCTCGATCTTCTGAACCAACTCATGCAGTTGAACTGGGCCAGAAAGTCAGTTCACTAGATGTATCTCTAGATGGACTTCAAGTTCTTGCTTCCTGTAGAGATGACACGTTGTCTCTAATTGATACTCGAAACTATGGAATCATCCATTTGTACTCTGCTGAGCAATACAAGACCAGTTGCGACAGTACTCGAGCAATCTTCTCATCTACTGGGGAGTTCGTTCTGGCTGGATCATCCAGTTCTTCCGTTTACATCTGGAACACAAAGAGTACCAAGCTTGAAAAAGTTGTGAGAACTGCGCGTGATGAGTAAGACTTTCCAATTTTGAATTCAGTAAAGAATCGATCATTTTCAGCTCTAACCAAATCATGTCATTATCATGGAACCCTTCTGGAAGAGGACTTCTTGCTTGTGATCGTCAGAAGATGTGCACTCTTTGGAGATAATTTTAAAAATGTAAAAAGTTTGCAAAAATTGTAAAATATGTAAAAGCCATGTTCATATCGTTTTTTGTACTTACAGCTCTTTCCAGAATTCATCTCACTTGTTTTGTTTTTTAATTTTGAAATTTGTCATTTCCCTCCGTTTTCCTTGCTTCATTTTCTTTCAATATTAAGCTTTAATGAAAGATGTGATTTTTTTATGCAATCAACAAAATGCTACTCGGTGAAATCTTTCCGAATAACGTTTTTGCAACAATCTGTGGTGTTATCATCAACATTTCGTTTCGTTTTATGAACATGCATGCATTCCTTATCGATTCACTGGCTGATTGACTTCCCGAAAAATAATTTTGCTTTCGACCTTTCTAGTTTCTGTTTTTAATTCAAAATAAGAATCTCTAGAAACGATGACATAAAATGACAGAATGATTTTCGAAGAATAGTACAAAATTTGTTGATATTTCTCGACTAGAACGAACCCAAGTGAAATCAGTGGGGTTAAAATGTTTCATTTATTATACTGATAGTGACTCGTTCATTTTGATAGTTGGTATCCCTTCCAGTTTTCTGAACAATCCATGTGCCAGAATTTTCTTTTATTTTACACCTGCAGCCAAACATTGAGCAATGTGCATTTCTAAGATTAATCATCAAGAAGATTAGCACCTGGAATATGCCACAGACAGATTGTTCACATTTCTTCGCTATTTCTATCTCTAATTCTCTTTTATCCAACCCGATGCGCAATCTCTGACACTTCCTGGGTTCTCCTACTCTACTATTTACTCTCGGTGGTCTTTTTCTCAATCTCTCTTCACACACAAAAACTTTCACCTCTAATTCCGCCAACTCTTCTTCATTACTTTCATTTTGAGCTCTAAAAAAGTCATTCATGCTTCCAATAATTTCCCCCACAAACATGAACCTCATTCCAAGTGCTGATTTTTTTTTGCCATTTTATTTTCTCTCATCACGTTTTTCGATTAGTTCAAATTGGTGTTCCATTCCAGCGATTTTGAAAGAAGGGAATTGATTGAAAATAACGGGAAATTGAATTATTTAGAATCATTGATTGCTTTCATTTATCACTTTTTCTTGGTATTGGAACGATCTAGTTTGGGGCAAATCCCATTTTATTGTTATATGGAATTGTTGAATGTAGTTTTGTTTCATCTGTTCAAATTTATGATTCTCTGCCAATCATATATTATTTTATCTGAGGTAAATCCCGCTTACCATAAACACTCTACAAAGTGGCTCACAAAAAAAAATATTGACATTATAATAAAAATGTTGTCAGTTGACCATTTTTCGATGTCTTCTACAGAAAATGAGATGTACGGGACCTAACTTGACGGCTTGGGTGACATTCTATTAGAGTGTTTACGGTATCTTATCTCTTACATTTCTATTCATACTCAAACCTTGACTGACGCACCTTGTATATAGATATCTTTTTGTATCTCCACTTATCCCCGTTCAACGCAATCTTCTTCTTCTCCTTTCCCCAATTAGCCCTTTCCCGTCTTTTCATCTTATCAATGGTAACCTTTTTCTTCTTCTCTCCTTTCTATCTCTGCTATCTCTCTCTCTTCTCATTCTCTTCATTATTCGTCCTCCATCATTATTTCCCTACTCTCTGCCAAACATGTCGACGGACCTCCTTCTAAACGAATACTTTTATCCACAAAATGATTATTTCAATAGTACATTTGAAGACGTTCCGTCTCCGGAGTCGGTGTCATTGAACGCCGAGCCAACCTTCGAAGATTCGTCTTCCCCACACGACGACTTTTTCGAACCTACTTTCGATATAAATTTCTGCCTGTGGAAGGACAACTCCACATCACCAAAACCTCAACCAGTTCTTGAAGCCGTATTTTCTCCTAAACCTATTAATGTGATGCCGTCACCTCAATCAAGCAGCCCATGTTGCCACGTGTGCGCTTCTCCGACTGCTAACACTTTGCACTTTGGAGGTCGTTCTTGTAAGGTGAGTCAATTTTTGATTATTGTACAAAAAAGAACACAGTCTGTACTGAAGTCTGTACTAAAGTATTCTAAACGAAAAGTGTGCAGATGCCAGAACAGTACATGACACAAATAATCGGCTGTTGTTTAAACTATCCTATGTTATTTTTAAGTTATCAACAGCTGGGAAAATGCATTCAAATAGAGAACACCTTCTTCCAGTTGTCAAAAAACTTCCATTTTTGTTTTTGTAGTCGTTTATAGTGTAACTCTACAAAACACTGACCACCATAGTTCCAACAAACACATAGTTCCAACAATAGAACATATTCTTCTTCTATGTTTATTTGTGACCGGTGTCTGTCTCCTCTATTCCGTGTAGTCTTATTTGTATCTATGATGAAAAAAAAGGAGATCTTCATCGAATGATTTAACACGCCAGCGGAAACCACAGCTTTCGTTCCTCATCTATTGCACCATTTTGCCTAAACTTTTGTGTGATCAACGATGGACAAGTATAAACAAACGAAACTGATAAGGGATTGTTGTGCATTAAACTTTTGTATGGTGTGTTGTACGATTAACGAGCTGCGAAAAATGAAAAGTACAAGGGCACGTCACACAAACTTAAGACCTCCGGAAAGTGGGTTTAGTGATCGATGTACTATTAACATATTTTCTTTTCAATAAGACTGAATATTGACAGTTCAATACTCATTTTATTCCAGGCATGTGCTGCGTTCTTCCGTCGAAGTGTTGCAATGTCAATGACATACGAATGCATTGGGTCGGGAGATGACGCAACTCCGTGTAAAATTCACTATGAACTTCGGATGCTCTGTCGACACTGTCGTTTCATCAAATGTTTGGAAGCTGGAATGCGCAGAGAATGTGAGTGATCATTGAGATACAAGGCCGATTTGTCACATGATCAATTGGGATCGAGGTACAGAAAACGTTAATTTCGTTGTTTTGCAGTGGTGCAAGCGAAGAAAGAAGAGGCAAAAGTAGCGAAACGACGATCAAAAGGATTAGTGGTTACGAAAAATGAGAATGGAAATTCAGAAAGTACCTATGACGATTATGTGAACTCATACACAAATGTTATTGGTTGGTAGTCAATGATAAATTCTGTTAGAAACCCATCAAATACATTTGCAGATTCAAGTCCGAAAATGGAAATTAGTGACGTGCCCGAATCATATCATTCTCCGGATATTTCAGTTTCCTCCCAACCAATAGATATGACTGTAACACCTTCTCCTCCACCTCAACCACCACTTCCACCAACTCCATCAATCCTTCTGACACCTGCTACAGTACTGACAACATCTCAACGTTGCATCTCTCATTCTCCGCCTTTCGATCCACAACAAGCAAGCACAAGTCACGCAGGAGTCGAACAACCGATTCAATATTTCCGTATCGTTGAGCTTGATGACAAGACATTTGAATTAGTGAATCACTATGTGAGAACAGAAGCATCGTTGAATGATCGGAGGAAAATAATGTATACTGATACGCAGATCCGAGATGTTTTTGATACAACTTGTGAATGTGTAAGCTAATTTTCTAGTACATGAAAGTATTCTTAACACCAATTTTCAGCCATACGAACCTCATCAGCTGAAACCATTCGACTATAAAACATTCTGTGGATTTGTGAAACATGATTTCGTTATGATTCTGGATTATGTGAATCAGTTTCCCGAGTTCCAATCTCTTGTTAAGGACGATAAAAACGTTGTCTATCGGATGGCATGTGCTGTTGACTCGATGTTAGCTTCTGCCTATTACAGTTATCGGTATATATTCAGATTGGAATGAAAACTGAATATCAAATAATACTTTTCAGAGTTGGTATCGACAACAAGCAATTGATTCTGTTCAATGGAGACTTTATTCAGATGAATCCTATTCCGATGCGAGGAGATGAGCCAGGATCTGACAAAGAGTTCAAAACAACTGCAGAACATGAAAAATACAAGTAAGGCATTTGAATGAAAATATTCGAAAAATTATTGAACTTCAGAACTTTGATGCCACTAAAACTAAAACAATACTTTGATTTGGCTCTTCCATTTGCACGATTAGAAGTTTCATTCGAAGAATATGTGCTCCTCAAAGCTCTCACCATCTGGCAAATGAGTAAATACCGACTAGACGAAGGTGGTCAAGCTATTTGTGCCCGTCAAAAGGATGTCATTGTTCAAGCCCTACATAGAATTGTAGAAGAAAGAGGAGATGAAGATCCAGCGACTAGAGTTGGACAACTTCTGCTGAGTATGAGCTACATCACGGTTGGTTTTCGAAATACCTATTAATTCTGAGACTTTTAAAATTTCAGGAACTGGTCCAAGCAATGACCAATTCTTATCTTGTGATGACATTCTTCGACGTTGTATCCTGTGACAGTATTATGTATGATCTGCTCTCTTTCAAATAAAACAATGATTCAAGTAATCAGTTGCAGTGATTTTATGTTCCCGCTAGATCCTAACTTCCCCCAATAGAACCCGTTTTATGTTTTGATCCGTAAATATATCACCTAGAATTGTATATATTTTTTCTTCTGCTTCTGATCTTTATATTGCCATTTTACCTCCCATTCATTCTCGTGTCAGGTCTTTCGTGTGATGTTTTTTTTTTCAATTTTTATATCTTCATACAGTTTTATACATTTTCCAAATTTAAATAATAATAATAAAAGATTTTATTGCTCTGAAACGGGAGAAACATAAGTGGAACTAGGGGAACTTGTCAGGTCATCAATATAAACAGGAAGAACAAAATACTGCCATTGAGCCTGAGGAACCGCGTACGGCTTGCTCCAAAGCCTCTGGAGATCCGTTGATGGAGGATTAGGACCAAGAGAAAACCATTCGATTAGAATGTTATGGTGCTCAGTTGGAGAATCAGCTCTTGTACATTGCTCCACTTCTATCTGAAAAATATTAAAGAAAATTTTCGAACATTGAAAAAGAAACAAAACCGAAATTTCTTTTCCTGGCGGAATTAAAAACTTTGACGGATAAAGTTTGTAGAATCCAGTTGTTGAAAGTAGTGCTCTGCAAAACTTGAATAGAGTTTCTGATTTTTTAAGGTCTAATGCCAAAACCTCAAAGCCAGCCAATCATTACTCCGATTGTTTTTCACACTCAACACATTCATTCCAAGTCTTGGTACATGAAAAGGCTGGAAATTTAATTTTCGGTTTTTCAAATATACTAAATATATGTTATCTTACTCTGGGATGAATATAGACCATTTCACTGAACTCGCTCTCAATTCTTGTTTCGCCTGTCGGAGTATTCGATACAGTTGCCACGTGGCTTGGGGTTTCATCTGGAATCCTTTCAGAAAAATCTATGTTTCTTCTCATTTTGCTTAAAAGAACTGTTTGAATGCAAATTAGAATATGATAGACGAGAATGAAGAAGTGAGAGAACTGAAATAGTTAGAAATGGTTTCAATACTCTTTCTTGCAAGAAACCATAAACTGCCAAATAGCTCCGTTGAATCTACAGTATCCCGGCTCGTGATCCTTATTCCATAAATCAACAGTTGATAGGAAACATTCATAAACAAAGACAGGAACTGTGACTAATTTGAAAACCGATAGTGCCAGTGCTCCTGATTGTTGATGAATTTCACAGATTTCTGAAATTCGTATTGAAAAAATATGCAACTCAAAAACTAACAAGGGAAGTGTTTTCAGAAAAGCATTGAGAATTTTCTCAAACTTTTGTCATTGGTACTTTTAGACACGCTGATTACAGAACTGAAATCAGTTTTTCAACCCCGGCCCTGTGAAAAAAGTTATGAGCACTGAAAGTGATTTCAGTGCTAATTTCTCACTTTTAGAGTAAATTTTTGAAGGGATTAATAACAGCTTTTCGGGATTTTTCGAATGTTAATCGTACTTTTTATGTTGTTCTATAATCTGAGAAAGTTTCCTCATTTTTCAAAAAAATTTTGTTTTTGAAAAAAATGTCGCTATGTGGTACCTCCTTTGGAATTTTTTCAAATTTTCGCAAAATTTTAAAATGTGCTAAAATGAAGCCTGAACGTAGAGAAACGATAAAATGAGTCTTTTTGCAAGATTTCGTAGCCCATATTCCTCTAGAAATCACAAAAAAAGCGATTTCTGTTCAAACTTCAATGGGTCGTAATTCTTTGATAAATCTCTAGAAGCACTCAAAACTTGTAAAAACATAGATTTACATAATTACTCATTTATTTATTTTTTCCAACCGCAAAATAAACCTGTTTAGGGTATATTATTGACTAACACTACGCCTAGGGAAGACTTTCTAGTGTTGCTTCCAGAAATTTTTTCGAATTATGTCAAAAAGTATTATTTTTTTATAAAAATATAAAAATTGAAATAAATGAAAAATTTTTTCAAATAAATAACTATTAAAAATTTTGAGACTTCCAGAGGGACCAGATAAAAAACAAAAATATTCAGGACAGGGGGATTGAACCTAACCCTAGTCAGATACCTCCGTCCCTCTTCCCAACTACACCACTTCCGCTGCTTTCCCTCTGTTCCCGAACCTGTATAAGAACGGGGGGAGGCGCATCAAAGCGAAGGGGGTCAAAACACAGTAAAAATTTCAGACGCAAATTTTCAGCTTCTGGAGGCCGGGGTGGAAAAACAAAAAATGACACCATGTTTAGGAGGTCATATAGCATACTTGTTCAAATTTTCAAGAAATTCTCAACGCTTTTTTGAAAACACTTCCCTTGTAAGTCAACACTCACAACGTGGATGAATAGTCCGAAATCAAGTAAGAAAAATGTAAGCGGGAAGGAGAAATAGAGAGATGGACCAAGTCCTGCTTCGAATATCTGAAAAATAGGTCTCGGGAAGACTTATTCAAGCAAGCTACCTGGTACAAGAAGTATCTCGGAGTTGTGTAAATCCCTTTTGGATGGTTCATACAATTCTTCCGAAATGGGAAGTAAATTGTAAAAAGAGACAAAAGTAGACATATCGATTTTGCCAATAGAATCGAAGTCATTCTGCTTCCTTCCGGTATCACAATATTATCCATTGGCCAACAATCAACGGTTTTCTTATAAAACAAAACGAGAACCAAAACGATTCCACTCATTCCTATATGCCCAAATATCAAAAACCAGATTTGCTGGACCGTCCATAATTGTGTCAACTCTGCGGTATTCCTTTTTTCTGAAGCACAGATTTCAGCAGGGTTGGAGGAAAAACAGCAGCAATGAGTCTCGTTTCCTAAAGTTCTAGAATTACCAGAAGGTTCAGGAATTCGGAAGTTCACCTTCTCCCAGACAAATCGAAGACGTTGAGTGGTGTCTGAGAAGTTGTGAACAAGAAGACTTGTTCAGCTTGGAAGATTCTTCCTCACAATCGAATTTCTCGACATCTCCTTCTGAAGTTTGGTGAAAATGAGAGAAGCAAATGTCAGAAACACATTGCTCTTTTCCTGGTTGGTTGATGATACATTGATTTGTGGATTCAGAGGATAAGGTTCTAAATTTCAATGAAACTTTTCAGAGCCTAGGAAGTACTCACAAAATGCACAAAACAGAAACGATTGCGGTCAGCATTTATAACAACTTTTGATATTCCAGAAAAAAGTTTCCCGCCTTTTTTAATTTTACGTGGCTTGGAAAGTTGGATTTTGATGTGGAGAAACATTGCCGACGAACTCACGTTCATCTTTTTATGAATACTTTTTTGTCAACTGTTTTAAAATAATGGGTCACTGTGGGATTACTGTAGTAGTACTTTTATTTTCCAGTTAAGACACAAAACTGAAACTGGCACGGAGGTAAAAGAAATTAGGAAAATTGAAGAAAAATCACAAATCGAGAAAGAAAGTTGGGACAGAATAAGAAAAATGGGTGATTCGAAAATTACAATTAAAACTTTGAAATATTCGAGAATTCTGTGCTGGAAACGTAATGAAATACGAAAAAGAAGAAGAACCCATGTTTTGAAAAGAAAAATATGTAAAAAAATTGAATGAAAATAAAGCATTTTAAAGGGGGGTTGAGAGGAAATGTACACGCAACGGAAAGGTCTTCTGAGAAATTAAACAATTAGAACAGAAACTAAAAAATAGGCTTTGATTTATGGTAACACTTGAAACCGTGGACTCTTTCTGGCTGTATAGCAAAGAGCTCCAAATGTGATCGACACGGCGAAGAGAATGATCCCGAGAAGAAGCCACAGAACTGTATATGGAAGACAAACGGCTTTCATTGGAGCTTCTTCATGAACTGGCGAGGATTGTTGCTCTTGTGGTGATGGAAGATCGGAAGCTAAAATTAAAAGTTAGAATTTCGAAATGGTGGAACTTGACTTACCAAAAGCGCTATCCAGAATAGTGATGTCAGAAGAGACATCAACGTCCATTGCATCTCTTCTCTTGATTTCCCGTTTCGTTGTTCTTGGCTCTTCAGAAGACGTCATATGTTGAGCTTCAGCACGTGGTGCAGTGGCATTCACAATCTCAACTCCAGATCCTTCCTCATCTTCCAACACGCTTGAATTCTTTCTTGAAGCCTTTAGTAATCGGAAGATGGAATCAGGAGTTGGGAAGTCAGTTGGAAGGGTTACTGTAGTTGTTGGATCAAGTACTTGAGTCATCGTTGTCGTTGGTAGTTCGGTTGTTGTCGTCACGGTAGTGGTGGTAGTGGTAGGAGCTGATGTCGTCGTAGAGGCTGACGTCGTGGTGGTGGATGGTGCAGAAGTGCTTGATGGAAGCTCCGAAGACGTTGGCATTGGTGTTGTAATAAGTTCGTCTCTAGCGAGTTCTCTTCCAATTGGAGAGATTTCATCGATTGAGGAAGCAGAAGCATCACATTTTGGCTGAAATTTCGGAAACACTGAAAATGAAAACTTCCGATATTATACCTGATGGCAAGTTCCACTCAATGTAGCACATACACTGATTTTGCAACTGATTCTGACATTGTTTTGATCGGGAAAATTGAAAGCATTGGAGTTCACAAAAGCCTTGGTTCGGTTTTCGTTATAAATGAGATTTGGCATAATGTAGATATCCTCTGAACATCCATTCTCTCCAATAACTTTCTTACTGTATTCTTCTCCTCCGATGACGTCACAATTGTAAACTTCCATCTGATAAGTCTCAGAATCACATTCCCATACATGATACAGAACGTCTCCTAGCTGGGCAAATTTTGCGATCGGACCGTTTGGGGACTCTTTGTGAATTGTGTATGAGCATGTTGGTTGAGGAGATTCATCTTCCAATTGAATTGGTGTCGGATCACTGAAATCATAATTTTATTATTCCATTTATTATGATTTCTATGCCCTTGAGACTACTCAGGATTACTCGAATCAAAGCCCCCGTTAACCATTTTATGATCGAGGGGAAATCATAAAAATCATAAAAATCGTACCTGACGGAAACCTCAGCCCCAACGGATTTCTCGGCTTCCTTGTAGAAACAGCGAAGTTTGTAGGCTCTATCGACTTTTGTGGTGAAGAGAGGATGGAATTGAACGACTACGGTAGCAGTGTAAGCCATTCCTTTCGGGTTAGCCTGGAATTTAAACCCATTAATAAGGTTTATCAGAATTCTCATCAATCATACCTCTCTTTGCCTCATAACATCGCATTTGGAGAAATCGAATGTGGCATTGGCGGTATTTGAAAACGAGCAGCCTTCCTGTAACCAAAAAAACGTCTCATTTCGACATAATGTTGTGTGTGTGTGTCGCAAAGGACATTTTGTAATTACGCGTTTTGACAAGAGAAAGAAAACCACGCTCCAGTCAGATACATACAAAATACCGTACCTTTCGGAAATGACCTTTGACGAATACATGAGACGGTGGACTCTTTTCTGTGTTCACTTTCAGTGCCATAAATCCACTCTGACATGATACTTCTGGTTCTTCTGGAATTTGAATTTTTAGATTTAGAAATCCGAAAGTGTTGAGACCTAGTCTTACCTAGAATATGATTATCAAACTCTACTATGGATTGAGCACTGTTGATGAGAGCAAGCATGAGCAATAGGAAATTCGTTGATGTCATTATTATTCTGGAATGTTTATATGCAGGTTAAGAGAGATAGAACAAGAAGATGTTTCTCTCGAGAAAGTGCGATGAAGACATGCAAATTGGCGACACAAACAATACAGCAAAAGAGGCGGGATATGGGGATGCTCCCGACAAGGTCAAAACCCCATTGAAATGAAGAATAAGAAAGGAAGCGAGGCGTGTCGAAGAAGGAAGACGACATATTCGGGAAAAAGAAGGGATTCTGGGGCATTCACACACCATTTAATTGGTTCGTGTCTTCATGCCTCAAAAAGAGTCTTTACTTGTACATACCGTATAATTGACTCGAACTTTTCGGGAACGCCCGTTCAGAGAGAAACTGGGTAGCAGGTCAAGATGAGTGTTATGAGAAGGAGGACATGAGAATTGGGTAACTGCAAAAGGATTTGAAGAGGTGAGAAATATTCGAAGATTACCGGTTAGAAAGGGGGAGAGAGCATCCATGGGAATGTGGAAGCGGAGCGGAAAATGAAGAAACAATAGACGGATATCGAAGGTGCGTAAATTAGAGAGTCCCAATGGATGCACTTTTGTGTATTGTTTTATATAAATAAGAGCCACTTTTTTATATCTCAAGGTTATATATTATGGGAGTGATGTAATTTGAGAGTATGTGGGGAAATTTAAAATTGGAGACAGTTAGACTTTTTGAATGGAGCCAACTTGAACTTGATAATCCGTGGAAGGTTCCTAACAGAGTTTTGCCATACGAAATAGTTCAGCGGCAAGGGGTTGAGCAATAATGAGAACAAACGTCGACAATTTCATATCTGGGGGGGGGTTTTACTTTTTGCCATCAGTTTACCTACGTCGAATCTAAGATTCTCGAGATTTTCAAATTTTCAAGATTCAGAAAACTCATAATTCTTGTGACAACTGGTTTGGAATTGTTATGGCTTTTGATCTATCTATTGTCGGAATTAAAAAACTGTCAGCTGCCCTGTGTGCGGGGGTACAGCGAATTCGAACGTTTTCAAAATCGAACAGACCTAAAGTCGAACTAATTCAAATCAGAACAGTGTCTTTCTCGAACAAGTATCAAAACAGAACAAGGACAGAATCCAACTGTTCTACGTCGAACTGCGCACTGTCGAACT